TACTGACCCAGAAGAGTACTAAAGAGATGGAAAGTCCATACTCTTCTAAATATTACCTACTCTAAATAGTCTGGGAAATGTCTATAGTGTACATTTTCTTGTATTGAAATGTAATACTATGGTCTGTGTGCTGCTAGTAGCTTGTAGGGAAACTGGCTGGTTGAACTCTGCTGGCCATACTTGTTTTCTGCTTCTGAACTGCAACAAAAGACAATACGTCAAGCATGTCCCTAATCTTCCCCATTAATGTGAGTATTATAGTTGCCACAGGCATCCTATTCAATTATCAGTGGAACTAAAGGTGATTCATGTGACTGAATAAGAAGAGAGGAGGATTATGACATAATCTGTCTTCTAAAAGAGGCGGGTGACTTGTTGAAAAACCTTACAAATCACCACTCCAACTGACTGCCAGGTTTCTTTTCCCAGGTCCTCCTCCCACCACAGCCCAGCATGAGATCTATGGTATTAGTGACGAATTTCTGTGTAACAGCTTGCTGATCCACTTCAGAAGTTGGGTTTTTTGTTTTAAAATTAGCTGTGTTGGAGATTCTTTGAGCTGAAACTGAAACAGCACACATGAGGAGAACATAAACTGGTCCATATTCATTTTTTTTATCTTGCATATGTGCTTGCTTTAAGGGGCTTATTTTTACAGCATATCAAGATTCAGCTAGAAGTTCTGTTACAGGAGCTTCTGAACAGAACATCTATACAGAAGTGCTGTACAATGGTTGTCGTTCTGTTCTGACAGTAAGCTGCATTCTGAATTGTTTCCTATTGAAGTAACATTCAAGAAAACATAACATTCCATGCTTTCTGCGCTCTGAGAAGGTTTGAAAGTGACCATAGTTGAGCCAGTCAGACATTTCTTCCCTTTCGTGCCATACCCTTCTATATTTTTACTGATTATCCCCATTTTAATTAAAACTGTTGAATCATACTCTGATTTTTTTTTTTTTTCATATATTCTGGAGTAATATTTAAGCCTTTTTCTTGGCAAAGCACTCTGTAGTGCCTGGATCATGTAAGTGATACTTATTCAACTTTCCAGCAGCTACCAATACTAGGTCCAGGTTAGAGTGAAGAGCATATTCCATAGAGAGATTTGGAAACTAAAGATGAAGGAGCAACTGAAGCAGGTGATGGAAAGCAAAAGCCTGCTTTTTTTTTGTTTGTTTGTTTGGGGTTTTTTGGGTTTTGGTTTTTTTTTTTTTAGGAAACATTTTATGTTAATATCTGATGCAGTCTGATGGGCATTAAACTATATCCAAAATCTTTGTGGAGACTATAATACAGGTGCTACAAGAAATTGCTTTGCAGCTCCCTTAGGCAAGGTATTTATGGTATACACTTGACTTTTCATCTGCAGTCATACTACCATCAACATGATTTCAACCACCTTGCCTTAGCAAATCTTCTACTTTATCATAAACATTTTTACATGTTTTATGCAATTTCTCTCATGCTTTCATTATAAGAAATACAGTTAACATTTAGCTTATGATTTGTGGAGCGCAGATAATGGTTTTTGGTCTTTAAGGTTACATCTTTTGAAATAACATCTTTGTGGAAGAGATGGTGATTCGGCCTTTTCTTCATGTGGTTCCACAAGTGTAGTGTTTGTTGTTTGCCAGCTTTTCCACCAACTCGAGTCATCTGTAGTCTTACGACTCTAGCGGTAGAGAGTTGCTGCTGATACGTGTGATATCTAACTATACTTGTTCAGGTTCCTGTCAGTACTTTCACAACTGCAGCACGCACTCCAACCATCCACAGATGGCCTTGGTTCATATTACGTTGTTTTATCTTGTCTTTATGCATGCCACAAAGATTTCCCAAGTCTTAAACAACTGCTGTGTGTCAATCAACCACTTTTATTTACCAGGTCATTTTCTGTCTACTGTACTTTCCTGTACTTATCTGAGCACTCTCTGGCTGACCTACTGGCAGGGTTGATTTTTTTTTTTTTTTTTTTTTTTTTTTTGTGATTCACTAGGTTTTACAGGGATATTGAGTATCGGACTTCCAGCAGGGGATATTTCACAGTCAGTCAGTGCAGCGGACACCACTGGAAGCTAGACGTTTGGTAAATGTGAGTGTAGTCAAATACCTTACTCATGATTTGATGTTGAACTAATTCTTAATTATTGATTATACAAAATGTTGGACTTTGTTTTGCATTCATGAGAGATCGGTTGTGTAAAAATGTATTGTCAGTAGTTTAACTCACTATGCCTGTAAGGCTGTTGGGGGGGTGGTTGCCCAAGCAGTTAAAGCTAAAGATTTGGGATTCTAAATTACAGTATAAGACTTTGCTCTCTGAGTGGAGTAACAACCCAGGCAGCATGGCTGGCAGTATGATGGAGGATGCATAGCTGAAGTCAAAGGATTATCTAGGCAGATGTAGAAGTGCATCTTGTTTACTTATGAGGATTCCTTATTTTCATTATAGTACTACAGCAGGTAATAAGGAATGAACTTTAAGGCCATACGGACTGACTGGCCAACTTTTAATACAAAGGGCCTAAGTTAAACTGAAGGTGCATGCTTTATAAACATGGTAGGGTGTTTGGGAGTGGGTGGTATTTCTTAATAAAAGGAGAGGGCTTGAAAAAATTACGTTGAGACGTTAGGAAAGATGAACAGAGATGTTAGGACACAGAAATTCTGAAAAAATTAAAACTGATTAGAAGAGAGATTGAAGTCGCCATTCATTTAAGGGCGTTATGTATCTACACAGTGGGCCAGCTCCCTACAGGTGCCACTGTAAAACTTACACACAAACAGAAGACTCTAAGTTATGCACTTACATTTGCATAATTAAAGCCGTTTCTGTGAGGTCTTGAATCTTAGTTGTTCCTACTATAAACTGTTCAAAAGCTAGCAAGAAAAATATATTCTGAGCAGAGTTAACATATTCTTTTGACAATTAATGCTGATAAATGAGGTGTGGAGTGAGGCTCTGCACATTCTGTTCCTTGGTGTTCTTGTTGACCCTCTAAAACAGGGAGTAAGGACCAAGCTTAGTGAATTTATAGGTGATTGTAGTTAGGGACCTTGCAGCTGTGCTAACGGACATGATTAAAATATATAAGAAGAGCCTGATGCATAGGGAAACAGTATAAATAATGGAACACAATTCAGTATAGACTAGTGCAAGACTATACGTTTAAACAGAAACAGTGAGTAAACACAGGACAAAGATCAGGTTGCTAGCTAAATAAAAGTATTGAAAAAGGATCTGGAAGTTATGGGTCCTAGGCTGAAAATATATCAGTGTTACTATATGGTTAATATGAAAAGAAATATGGCCCAAGGGTCTGTGAAAAGCTTTTTTCTACTCTAGCCACTTTAAGCTGGAGTCCTGTGTCTCCTCTTAAGCCCTTACTTTCAGAAGAAATCAGGGAACAATTTGTGAAGAAGAACCAAAAGAAAGCATCAAAGCAGATCTTGAAAGATTAACCAGTGAGGAAAAGACAGAAGAACTGTTTGTGTAGTTCAAAGAGGGACTTGCTAATCAGAGATCTAATTTCTGAAGTGAAGGACTTTTTTTTTTTTTAAATCCATGGTGGTATGATAAGAACGAGTGATCAAGTAAGGCGAAGCTGAAGAGGTGATGATGCAGGTTAGACATTAAAAAAATGTTCTAAGGATGGGTAGCTAAGAAGCAGATTATCTGGGGAGGCTGTAATCCATTTCTAGAGGTCTTTAGGAGTAGGCAATACAAGAATATTGCAAATAATCATTGGTCCTAGGATGGAATAATGAAGCAGATGATCACTTCAGATGCCTTTCAGTCCTGCTGGTGTCTTTTTGATTCTCTCAATTCCTTTCAGAATTATCGAGGACAAGGGCACTCAGTTCCTCTCAGCTCTCCAAAGATGCTATATTTGTATCTAGTTCAGCACTTTATGGCTTGAAAAGTCTCTTGATTGGATAAATACTCGGTTTCTTGATTTGCATTAATCAACACCATTTTTATTTTCATCGTGTGTTTTATGTTTGGGCCTGTAGACCTCAGTGGAGATCAAGAAGGCATGAACATATTTAATATTTTTTTAAAAATCCTGTTCACAAATGATCAGTTCAGAAAGAAAGGACAGTAGGGGAGGAGGATTATAATCATATTGGTGCCCTTGTACGAGTAACTATAAATGAGTAGTCAGCTGCAGACTAGTGTGGTTGAAGGGAACTCGGTGAAGTTGTATTCTTGTGTAAACTGAAAAGCCAGCCAGAGTGTTTTATTCCCTGGCAGAAATGCATTGCCTGCAATGGAGCTGGGAAATCAACCACTAAGGGCTCATGTTACTTTTGATGTTTTAAGCAAACAGCTCCATTCCCACAGTTACACAATGTTTGAGTATGCAGAATGAAGCTATGGTACTCTTCTAAACTTTTTTTAAGTAAATCTGAAGATTTATTTTTTTTTTTTTTAGTTGTGGTGTTTCTCTCTGGAGTGTTAAATTTATAGGAAATGGGACATAATAGTTAGGAACAGGCTGTGTTTTAGAAGGTCTTGCTCCTTAGAGCCATTTAGAAATCCATGTGATTAAGTAGCTAGATCAGAAAAATTCCTGATCAGAATTTTATTAATTTGTTAATGGCTAACAAAAAAATTATATTTTTCTTTCAGTAATTTCTAGGACTAGTATAATACATATGGCAAACTTTACTATTTAAAAATAAACGCCAGGATTCCTTGTTTGGCAAAGGCTGTTGAGACCAGATATTTCGAGTTAAATGGTTTTTGTCCTCATAAGATGGTGTTTCCCAGTGAAATGATAATTTGATAGAAAATATCAAATCTATTCCTATACCATTCTTGATTTGTGGAAATGAGAAAGTATTTAAAATCCAGCTTAAAAAAGGTACATTCAAAAGATTTAAGGCATATGAAATAAACAGTTTTGGTCTGTAGACATATTTTGCATGGGTTTTGTATTTTGCATGGGTTTATATTATCTGTAAAAACTCTCATAGTGCTTTTTTCCCCCCAGTCACAGGTGAATCATCATTCATCTAATAATGAAACTTATCAAGAAAGACTGGCACGATTAGAAGGTGATAAAGAGTCACTCATACTGCAGGTATGTCTTCAAGAGAAACATGGTCTACCCAGTTGGTATTTAGTAAATAAAAGCTGAAGTGACAGTATTTTCCATTAAATGTTTGCAGGTCACCAAATGTAACTGATACTTATTCAGGACTTTAATTTATAATTTGTATAATCCATCTGAATGATTTAATGGTGGGGTAATTTGCTAAAGGAGAGGGAAGTAACAGCAGTAAGAGGGAGACGAATGACAAGGATAAAAATAAACAACTTAGAAATAATGCTGTGGAGTCCCACGACAATGCTGTGGTAGTGGTTCTCATTCTAGGTTTGCTAGGTTGTACCCGTTGATTTTTCTAGGTTCTGTGTGCCACCATTTTTAATGAACTGGAAGACTCGCAGGTAAATAGACCTGATATTTTTCCTGCTTGCATACTGTACCAAAGTTGCTTTACATCATCAAAAAGCCCAAGGGGGAGGTAAAGGGGGAAAAAGAAAATTTCATAGTAAAATGCCTGCCTAAACTCTTCCAGGTTTCCTGTTTCTCAGTTTACCAAGCCTTTTTCAAACAGATCCACTGTCAAATGTACGTTTTCCTCCTGGAGAAAACACGTTGCACAACTTAAAAACCCTGTTTTTTTCCAGGATATTTTCACTAGTCCTAAACCGTACATTACAAGCTTTCTAAAATTGAAGCTGAAAATTCTTTCAATGATCTTTGCATATCCTTTCTCTTTACGCTTACAAATGCATATTACAAGCATATACATTTATATAAAACAAAACTATATTGGGTGGGTGTTCTCCCTACTTTCAGTTACTAGTTTCTGTGAGCATGTTTTATCATGTATGTTCTGTTCACGCTTGTATTAATTTACTGAGCAGAATTCTCACTGCTGTTGTTAAATAAACAATAAACAGTGTGTGAGACGTAAGCTTAGGCTTCTCTGGATTTTTTTCTTACTGTTTAAACTAAAATTTTTAATACCAAATTTAGAAAAATGAAATTACTGAATGAAAAACAAGCTTCTGGTTAGAATTTAAGTCTTTTAAGTGTGTGCTGCAAATTCCCTGTTTTTCTGAGGGAATCAGGTCAGGGGAGACAACACCGTAGCTGATACCATTAGAACACCTTTTATTAATTAAGTGGCTATTAACTGACATCTTGATTCCATTAATAATAACAAACAACTTTTCACACAGTTCACTTGCACACATGTGCAACTCATATAATTGGAGCAACAGTTAGGAAGCCAAACCCAGCTGTTCATTCAGAAGCAGAGTTCTGTCCTGATGCACCTGTGGCTTTGTCCCTGAAGGCTTCCTTTGTCTCCTCACATGTGTGTATGGTCCTGTAACCCTTGTCTGCATATAGCAGCCACTGTCCTCTTGGATGTGGTCCGTGCTGTACAGCTGGTTGGTGATGGTCCGGTGTGCTGGTGGGCTTCGACAGATTTGGCAGAGTCTTGGTGTTCAAAGTGCATCAGCTTTTGTAGATTTAACAGGACTGCTGGTCTCTAGCACTTGTAAATTCCTCAAGACTGTTCCAGGCTGCTACTCCGTATCTACTTTTCCTGTATTTGTCCTGCTGATTTTTAGTAACTGTTTCTTCATCCACACAAACAGGTACCCATAGAATGCAGCCAGCCAGACTCACAAAGGGGTTTTTTACGGTTTGGAGGCCTGCCTAGCGTTTTTCTCAAGAGGAATGTAGTAAAATCAGATGCAGAAATCGTGTCTCTCTTGCCTTTTACTCCCATCACACCCTCATCAAATCCAGAGGCTTAGTCAATATTTATGCATTTTCCTATCCCACTGCACGCTATTGCAGTAGAGCTCCAAAAACCCCAGGCAAATAAGATAGATGAAAGCCTGGTAGATGAACATCAACAACAAAAAGCTGCCAAGATGGAGCTGGGGTTAGAACCTGGTTTATACCAGTTCTGCATATTCTACCTAGGCAGTCGAATGTGAGGAACACAGACAAGTCCCGTGCTGAGGTTACGCTGGCCTGAGGGAGTCTGCTGCTACAAACCTGGCTCCTGGGTGTGACCACTGGCATGAAGGCTGAGGAAGCGATGGGAAACGGGGCACCTCTCTGTCCTGTAGCTCCTGTTGAGTTGTGCCACAGCTGTACTCTTTAGGGAATATGAGGCTGGGAGCACTCCAGTATTGTGTCAGACTTGCTGCAGAAGAAGCGGGACAAGGCACCTTGTTGTAGGCACAGGCAGTGCCCACTCTTTCTACCAAGGCTGAGTCAAACAGCGCACATCAAAACCTTCTGCTCCTCAGTCTGCATGGGGGCTGGAAATGCTACAGCATCTGGGATACCTTATTACAGCTCACTGCCTGGGTACAGGAGCTAATGTCCTACCTGAGCTGTTTGCTTTGGTTGGTTTTTTTTTTCCTGAGGTGTTTTAAACCCTTATACCACCGATTTTTAACTAATTGTTCAATATGTCTTATAGACATTTACAGAAAAGATACTATCTACGGGCTGACTCTTGCGGGTGTTGCACTGCTAAGGCAGTAGCATACGCTGGGGTTGTATTCTTTGTACAGCCTACTCATTCCCTGAAGAGTCTGGCAGATGTGATCCTGAACAGAGGGGAAAATATGAGCTCAAAGTGGCTAATGTGCCTCTCAGCCTAACTACCGGAACATCCAACACATGCTTCTAAAGCTGCTACGACTTTACTGAATTCCTTTGCAGGTCACATTTAACTTACAGAGTTTTCCTTACAGGTTACAGTGCTGGTTGGAACCTAACGTGACTCGAAGTTGAGCTTGTTTTCTTTTTCTGACCAGACTGAAGGAGAGGATGCAGTTTATTTCTTCTTGCTTTCTGACCTCACAGGGTTAATGGAAGCAAGACAAAAAAGTAGACAAGCAAGAGATTTCCTCGCAGGGAGTTCTCCCCCTGCCCCAGCTTACATGTGTCCCCCTGCCATCTGCCTCCACCCACTCCTTCCTATCATTTCTCCTCCTGCATTCATCTGTACTCTACCCTACAGCCAACTACTTTAAAGGGGAAAGAAAAAAAAAAACAAACAAAATCCTCTTTTTAATTCGTCTTTTCCCAGGCACGCTTGTCGTTATGTTTGCAGGTAAAACAAATACAGTCACTCCCTCTGCAGCTTCCCTGAAGTGAACTCAACTGTTTTGGGTTAGGTTTTAGAAATGCAGTGTAGCGGGTACATCTTAAAGGTTTCACTTCCACATACTGTGTCTCTTTTTTTTTTTTTTAAAAAGGTGTTTCAGGGTTGCATGTGAGAGCAGAGATAAATTTTTGTTAACGCTTTTCACTCAAACTGCAGTTTAAATACCTAAGGATGCTTTTTTGTTCTGTATAACATTTTGCAGTATAATCAAGGCTTTTATATAAATAAATAACAAAAATTAATATACAGAATGGGTGTGCTGCTTAACATAGGAATTAACACTGGGATTTTTTTTTTTTTTTTTTTCACGTCTTTCTAATGTTACCCTGAACGTAGTTTTTTCAGCTTTGCAAGCTTTGAGATAGGCTGCTGGGCTTTTCTTATTGCACGCTCCTTGGTCTGCACCACCATTCCCACAGTTCGTTACCAGTGTTGCCTATTGTTTCTTTTCCTGGGATTCATTGTCTCTATCTCACTTCTCCTGCTTTCATGTTTTGGCTTGCAAAGCCTGGGAATTTTTCTTGGAATAGAACTTTGCCACTGCTAAAACATGCCTTTTACTCATTGCATTCTTTATAACTTCAGAACGCTTTATTGATAGGTAAGCTGGTTTTCTGTTCTTGTAAGAAGTAAAGTAATTGGTCGGTATTCGAATGAACGGTTTTACTGTTTATCTGTTTGAGGGAGTGAAATGCCAGCAGAACCTGAAATGGCAGTGCATGCTCCAAAGCCACATAAAATATTTTCAGTATCCTATATTCTTGTTTGGTGCTTGCTAATTTTCAGACTTTTGCATGAACTGACTAAGGCTAAGACTAAGGCTAACTATAGGTAGTCTTCCATCTCCTCTTTCTTTTTTATATTAAAACAAAATAATCCATGGTGGGGGTGTCAGAGGGCGGGGCTGAAGCAAAATATAGGTAAGACTGAAAAATCTCTTGAGAGAGCAGGCTGCTGCAGTGCACAAGAATATTAAACCATTGAGGACTTTAAAAGAGAACTTGCTACTAAAATGTGCATTTAGATGTTAATTATATACGGTAATTGAAACTTATTTACAGTAAGTTCAGTAGCATTGTGCTTCTCTTCTCATATTACAGGTGAGTGTTCTGACAGACCAGGTGGAGGCTCAAGGAGAGAAAATCCGGGACTTAGAAATCTGTCTTGAGGGGCATCAGCTGAAACTGAATGCTACAGAAGAAATGCTTCAACAGGTAAAAATATGGATTGGAAAGCTCCTTGCATAATCTCCGACAGAGGGGTGAACATATATGGTTAGCCTGTCTGCTTGTGTGAGTGCCTTTGGCAAGATAAAACAGGAAAATATTCCTCTTTTATTGTTCTCTTGCTGCTTTGCACATGTTTTTTTTCCAATAAATGTTTCTTTGTTTTCCTGTTGCAGAAACATTTTACTGGCTGGTTGCATAATACTGTACGTGGCAGCATGTAAAATGAAACTATTGTGTCTTATTTGTACTGTGCTGACGAACTAAATTTGGACATGATTGAGTAACTGGTTAGACAGGTTAAATGTATCTAATACATGTAGGAGTTACAGAATTAAGTTTTACTTAAATATCTTCTGTTTTCATATGGCTTTGAAGCTGAACAGGTAGTAAGGTGAAATGAATTACTGTATCAAGTTTGGTTTTGTAACTCTTTTTGCTTAATTTAGGAGCTTTCCTCTTATTTTTGAAAGAAAATTAGTATATAATTCTTTATTTCAGTCCACAGTTTCAGGCTATGCAATTTAATTTTTGTTCTTTCATGTTATAAGTTGAGGGAGCAGAACAAACTAGAAATGAAATTCCTTACATTTCACGTGTTACTGCAGAGCTGGCAGATCTGTTGATGAAAAAGAACTTTCCCAGTGCAATTTTCTGTTATTGCAGATGCTGGTCATCCACTGGCAATACAATACATAGGTATCAAAACTAGATTTGAAACTGTAAATAACCCTCAAAATCTACACCAGAAATTTGCAGGCTAGATATTGTTCTGATGAACTTACTTCCTCTCCCCACCCAAAATGCTGTGTTATAAATTTACTGTATTAGTCTGTGTGAAATATAGAAGTCTTTCGATGAACTATTCACAGCTTTATGGTTGTGTTTATATAAACTTGCTTTACTGTAATGAGGATCCATATACATACATATGTAAACAGTAGCAGTTTCTATAAGGTAAACTTGTATCCTAAGTTTTTTTAAATTACAATTCTCTAAGCTTCTCTAAAAAAAAACCAAACAAAACTTGGTCTCACAACTTTTGGAGCCCAAAATGCTTCCAACTGGGAAAAGTTTTTTATTCTCATACTTAAATGAGGGGACATTTTTAAAAATGCAAATAGGGACTACAGGTAGTTTTTCAGTGAGATGTGAAGTGAAATTCAAAGAACAGTAACTATTTAAGTTATGAAAATCCGTTTCCAAACTTCAGGAAGGCATTCACAATAGATTGTAGAAGTTTCCTGTTTTAGTCTAAAACTAGATAGTTGTTCTGTAACTTCTGACAAAACTGTTTATGGTTTCTCTGACATAAAATTTTCTGCTCTGATAGTCTTCCAAGGTAGCTGTGAAATTAAAGCCTGATTTAACAGAACGCTGAGCCATCTGAAAATAGAATATAATAATGCATGTACATTGCTATTTCAGTGAAAACATTTGAATCTACCCGTCAGCATTAGGCACATGCACAAATTGCTTACAAAGCTGATCCTAGAGTGATAAGCTACAAAAGTCTGTAACAAAGCTGAAGAAGTCAGAGAATCTCCGAATATGTTTAACATACACCTTAAATCTAAATTTTGAGGTCACTTTGGCTGTAATTCTTGCCAAATGGGAGTAATTTCAAATTTCTTTTCCTTCTTGTACGGATATTAAGTAGCCAGCAATAAGCTCAAACTTGCTGATTGTTTTGTATCATAGTTTTGAGATCTTGCATTTCAACATAATTTACAGAAATACCGACAAGCTTGCTTGTTGTTCACTACATTTCTAAGTGACTGATATCTCATGCTTACAGCATATATGATAGCTGGAGTTTGGGTTTTTTTTCAAGAGAAGGAATTATCTAGGCCACGATTTGGTAAAGATTTGGTTTTCATTTTAACCCTATGAGTTTTTGCACAGACACAGACACATTACACAAACATGCATGCGTAGTATTTTAATTTTAGTGTGAGTGATATACTTTCAATAGCTGAACCAAAATTAAGAAATAAATTCAGTTTGGAACTGAGATACCTAAAATTTTTCTCACTGGAATGAGAAAAAATGCTGTTGAGTTAACATTTTAGTTTTGTAAACAGAAGAGCAAATTAAGTGAAATACTAGAGGGTGATGTGGGAATAGTAGTTGTGGTGTCTTTCTCACATGGATTACATCTCCCAGTAGACAGTGCGAGAAATTATACATTTATTATGGCTCAACTAGAGGGCCCTATTTGTCTATAATTTATTTTGAAGATTCTTTTCTCAGTTCATCTTGTTGAAAAAATTACCCACTATAGGGAATGAGTTGAGATTTGGAGAGAAGAGAGTGACCTGATAATGGGATGGTTAGGACGTTCACGTAAGGAATGTGGCCAATAGGCCTTCCTGCAGTTAATTTGCAAAGTAGAGTATCTGGCCTCAGGAACTTCAGTAGACTGATGGATCAGTCCAGGTTTTGTGAAGAGTTGGGTTCAAATCTTCTCAGCCAGCAGTGTCCTGTACAAGTGCTAAGCTCGATGCTTAGTAAATAGATGAAAGATACCAGTGTTGCAGTTGAGTTTTTCTAGTCAAAGCTATTTAGTGGGTCTTTCAAGACAGCATTTATTTATTTTTACAGTATACTAACTTATTTCTAATAAGAAAAAAACATCTAGCTCTATGTACCTTTTTAATTGCTCTTCAGAAAGACTTCTGTTCTCTTTGAGATGCATGTAAATCCAATTTTATTTAATGCTTCTGCTTGCTTACTTATGATATATTGAACTCCACTGATTTTTACCTTAGTGAGCATAAGTTGACTGCTTATTCTAAGTGGAAAATGGAACCATAAAGACAATTGCCCTAGCTTGAAAAATCTTTAATGTGGATTAGTAGAACTAAGCTAACTGCGTATTATTTATCTGGGACACCATATACCTGAGTCCAGGATAAGCCCTGTCCTTTTAATTTTGGGAACTATAAAAAAAGTGAGTCTTAATTCTGTGCCCAAAATGCTACAATAAAAACAAAAATAATACACTTTAAGATCATTTAATGACGGTATCTGGTGGTTCCACAAGAGAAAGGGTATGTAATGCTACCCTACAAAATAGTTTTTGCTGAATCTATGCTAGCAGAGACTTGTCCACTTTGTCAGGGTGGGGTTACTGGCTAAAATCCTTCTGGCTTATGATTTATGCACAGTTGTTTTGAACCCTGCTACAAAGTGATCATGGAAACACTTCTGAAACAGCAGCTAAAATAAACTATATGAATTACATAAAATGGCTGTTCAGCATCAAGGGTGGACATCTTGAATGCAGAATAGGAGCAACAGATACTGCTGCTGCTTTGCAGAAAAACGTGATTCTTCATCACTCTTGAGAGGATGATGCAGTATCCTGTAGTCAGAATGTGAACTTCCAATTAATGACTTGAGCCAATCTGAAGGTTACTGCTACCAAAAGGAGGCCTCATTCTGCTTTCATCCTTCTGCCTGTTCCTGACCACGTGCTTCTGCGGTTTATTTTATGCTGACATGCTCAGCAGACTTTTTCCTCAGTGACTGAGAGAAAACTAACGGGGTTTAAAAAGAAGGGGATATTTTTCTGCTGGGTTAGTGAATTGAAACAGGTCACAGAAGAGGTCAAGGTGTGGCATAAGGGCAATGGTGAGGTATGCATTTGACCCAGCGATTTTTGAAACCACAAAGAAAATATACCTCAAGATGGTTTGAAAAACAATATAATTCTGTGTAACAGATGCAGAGATGCCCTGGTGTGCACAGTTACAGATAATGCATGTATGTTTTCATGAGACGTGATGCTTATGGTGTTGAACTCAGCGTTTTTTGCTTTTGTAAGGATACTTGTTCCACTACAGACTCTAATCAAGATAAAGCATTTTCTTTCTTGAAAACAAAATGGGTCCTTTCAAAAACTCATGAAAGTCAATGGCAAAACGTTAAATTAGTCCTTCAATGTGATTCCGGTTTGGATGAGGAAACACATTTCCCTGATCATCCTTCATGGTAATGCTAAGAGGAAATTTTCTGGAGCACAACTAGGAGCAAGACACCAGTTCGGTCTCACTGAATTGCTTTCCAGTGCCTATCTCTGTCTTGCCATCGAGTGTGTAAAAGAAAAGGAAATGGCAGCTTCTGTGAATAGTTCTGTCGTGCCCCTTAGTACACTGTAACGTATATGTCTTAAAAAAAAAAACAACAACCCTCTAGAGTGATTCTGTGAAAACCATCTATGCTGTGACAGTTCATTTCCAGTGTATCAGCTGCTTTAACGTGTAAAATGACAGCCAGTTGTAGAGAACAGTGCTGTGTATCTGTTCTAAGTTAGTTTGTGGCATTTCTGAGTACTTCCAGTCAATTTTAAGAAAGAAGTGTCTTTTTAAGAGAAGAGAGGCTCTTGAACATCTGCTCTGTTAGCCTTGGGGGAACCTCCTATCAACTTGCTATCAACTTTTCTTCCATTTGTACTGTGTACAAATGCAGAAAAGAATTGGAAAGAAAAAGTAATTTTTGATCTATAAACCAGCCTAAATTGTCCCATAGCAGAAAGTACCAGCCATGCATAACGTAAACACATTGGTGCTGCGGAATCCGCGTTGTCAGTTTGGACAGCTGTATTAAGTCAGTTTGAAAAGTGAATTTTCTGCACATACGGATTTCACTTTTTTTCGTTTCTTTTAAGTTCATTTGTTATGGTAATTATCGTGAGTAAGAATAGTTAGCTACCTCTGCTATTCTGGTTCTGCGTTTGATTTATTTAACAGATACTAGTTCCCATTGAAGCTCTCTAGCATGAAGTATAACAGCGTACATTTTACTTTGCCAGTCAAAATGCTGGTCTGTGTGGCATTGTCTTCTCCTGTACCTGACCTGTACCAAATACTAGATGTGGTTTGACCCTGTGTTTCCAGCTTCCAAATTATTTTTGACACATGATTGAAAGAAGCAATCCAGGCGACTCTTTGTCAGATGATTGAATTACACTGTATCTTCTATCAAGTAGATTCTCTTGCAGAGTACAAAGCATTTGGCTTTCGCATTCTTTCTGTCTTAAAAACTGAAATACTTGAACGCAAACAGGAGTTTCTGTTTCTCCTGTCAGTTTGGGGCCAACTCCTCCCCAGGTGCAAGGAGCAGGGGAGAGCGTGCGGGCCGGTGCCCTTTGTGAGGCGCAGTGAGGAATCTTCTAAAAGACAGTGGATTAAAAGAGAACCTGCATGAGAGTGGGAACTTGAATCCAATGCAGTTCAGTGTGTACCTGTTCTGGGTTTGCAGTTGTCTTGTACTCGGGAGCCAGAATCCTGTCTTGGTGGCAGGTTATAAATCTGGTGTATATCTGTTTGCCTCTCAGGAACTTTGCTGGCCGGCAAGGATCATTCCTTCAACTTTCAGTTGCCTGAGTTATCTGATCTTAGATGAATTTCAGCACTTGTTTATAGCATTGCAGTAACTTCTTGCCAGCAGCTAGCTTAGCGTTCCAGATTTTGAAGTGTGCTCTGTGCTGCTCTGGTTGGGAGGCGTAAGGTTTTCAGAGCGCGCTCTCCAGTTGTGCAGCTTATCTGTAGAGGTGAGCATTACAGCTGCTTTGTTACTTTACAGTTAACGTAGGCACAAATCTGCTCTTCTGGCATATGCTGTTCAACTTGGCAGTGCAGTGGGAAGTTCTGTCCTTTCCGTCGCTTAACTATATAATGGGCAAATGATGAACTGGAGGGCTGTAATTCGCTCTCTGCTACTGACTTGCACCATTTCATGGTGATTACACATGTACATTGCTCTCAGCTGTGTTTTCAGTTAAGCAAATATCTTATTTCTACCGCAGCTGACACACAGCCCTTGAAAAGTGCAGTCCTTAGTGGTGGTTCTTGCTGAATTTTGCTTACCAGGTAGGTAGCTTGGTCAGTTTGTCTTGTCTCAACAATTTCAGTAAGTGAAAAGTGTGAAATTTTTTGAGTGTTGTATTTTGTAAGGGTGCTCAAGTGCAAAATGGGATCTATGGGGTTTTTTTTCTCCTGCACTTGACTGAAATCTTACTTATGGTTTCTTAATCAGTGTATGGCACGATTGTTTCTTCTGTTTCGTAGAGTGCTAAGCATCTTGGAATTTTCTGTGCTTGCAGCTGACAGCCTGGAAAAGTGTAGTGTCCTCTTTTTAAGCTGTTTTCTGTCATGTTAACTTTTATAAGCCACTTTAGAAGAATTATGTATTTCCAAGACAACAAAATGTGAAAGTGAGGTATGCAGCATGTGCTTCAGTTTCATTGGGAATATTGAAAGACATGATTAAATATTTTTAAAATACACGGTGTGAATTTTAAAAATACAGCTGTGTTTGGAAATAGTTTGCTGTTCATTGATCTGTCTGGTACGTGCATATTGTAGCTGCTGCATGACTCATCTTTGTAATTATTCTACTCTGAAATAGCTTTTTTCCTTCCTATTAAAGTGAAAAGTTGAGTTTCAAATCAAGAAGTTTTCAAAATTAAATTATAGTACATTTTAAAAATAAAACCAAGTCTCGTTTATAAATAAGATTCCCTAGGACATATTCTATTTCTGTCCTATGTTTCAGCTCTATAAGATCCTCCTTAAGCTGCTGCAGCCCAAATTACCATTTTGCCTGTCTTATATTGTCTTTTTTGCTTTAAAACCAATAACATAAATTTGTATTTTCTTTTCTTACAATTGCATATTTAATCTGGCTGAATTCAAGTTGCATCATACCACTGAAATACACTATAATTTCTCTGTAACAAAATGGGTCACATTCTTAATGGGCTGTTCACTGTGAGCATCTGCTTGAAGATGAAAATAATTGCTTCCAGATGTTACCATTTCAAGAGGGGACATTTACTTTAAATGGCACTTTCTTTCAAAGCAGAAGTTAGACTCTCTAGATGCAAGAGAAATCGTCAGCTGTTTTAAATCAGTGTAGCTCCATTGAAAACAAACCAGGGATAGTTAGCTATTTTGTCTATTTTAAGGAAGGAGTTTTATGCCAGTTTACACTAGCTGTGAATATGATTCTCCAGCTTCAGAGCAAACTGTAAAATTTTGAGTTCATTATAAAACAAAACAAAACAAAGCCAAACCATAATACCAGCTGCCTTCAGGCTCACTTATACCAGGTAGTGTTCACATGGAGCTACTGAACTCAGAATGAGAGGAGTGTGGTATTACTCTCCGTTGCATAACTAGCTGTAATTTGAGAGTCTATAGAAAAAGTAAGCACTAATGCCAGATGGTGCGCTCAAAGGGTAGATCTTTTGTTAAAAATTTCTAGAGAGATGCCATGCCTCCTTGCCTTATTAAGAAATCTTCCTCTTGTATCATGGAATATCATGTCAGTGTCAAATTCTAAATGTTGTTTCAGTTCAGCGGTGAATGGAGTCTGTCCATGGGGCCAAAGTGACCTCACCCTGCTAGCCTCTTTGATATTCAGTGGCCTTACTTCATATTAAAGTTCTTATTTATAGCTATGTCTTAACATAGCAGACTTGTGCAGATTAGCAGCTGTACAGAGCCTGTTCCAGTCTGGACTGGAATGTGCCTCTGGAACTTGTGCAAATTAGTGTTTTTTTGGAAGATGGGGGAGTTATTCATAATTATAATTGTAATTTGTAATCACCTTTGTAGAAAGCAGCTACTGGGATTTCATTAGGTGACTGCCTCTTAACAGTTTCTCAATTAAAAGAAGTCAGTGCACTACCTTTTCTTGATTAGTGCTTCATTTATTTCCGTCAGAGAGAAAAAAAAAACAAAAACCATGAGGCTACATTTCTGTTTATTTTCCCATCCATGCACAAATATCATTGTCAGTGTCAGCAGGAATGGGCATGGTGTTGGGAATAGTGGGTGGTTTGGATAATTGGTGTTGCAGTGCAGATGCAAGTTTAGCGCTATTATTAATTTGGGCAGTATTTCCCACCAGACTAAAACAATTTACATGTAGAGCAGATTTGGGTTCCAAATAAACTTTAACTGTATAATTTTTAAAATAACCCTTGTGGCTTCCTTGGCTCCAAGCCATGGTCTACAATATACTGTACAATTTGTGGAAGAGGAAGAGATGAGAACAGAGTGATGGACAGGGCAGTTTCTCATCACTCAGTGACATCAGCATAGGTGCAGAATAACTTCAGTTAAGTCATGGCCATGTAATTCAAGCAGAATCTGCTGTGGTTCCTCAGTGTGTTTCATATGATCAAAACACTAATGTGAGTTATGAATTAGCATAACATTTTTTAACTATGTAGAAAGCTGTCTTCTTTTGCAAAAAATAATTAGACTCTTGGAAAGTTACATATTGATTTTTCAGTAAGGCTTAAACTCCTGAATGGATTTTTTTTTTTTTTTCTCTTTGAAAATGGAGGCCAACAGAAACATTTTATATATATAACACACTCTGTTAAATTTTGGAAGATTTTTTTTCTTCGGCTTTCTCGAAAGCTGAAAGATGCAATGAAGGTATGAGTATTGAATGTTTTCCAGATGCAGTGATATCTCTCTGTCCAAAGTATGCCTTTCCCTGCAATCTGAAAAACAAATTTAGGGCACACGAGCAAAAGTCATGGCTGATTGTTTCTTCTTTACGCTGTTACTCAGTTTAGACATTGCCTCTTGGAGTCCAGTTAGGGCATACCACTTTTCACTCACTGCTGTTCCCTCCACAGTGTGTGGCCTTCAAAAGTACTACATGGTGTAAACGTTCAAGTACTGTTAGCATGACTGCAGAAATATTGCTTCTCTTTGGTACTCTATTTTGGTTGGGGTGCTCACTCTTTATTGAAAAACACAGGATAAGAGGTTCTAAAATGTTTCAATGTAATACTAAAACGTAGCTTTGTCTGATGAGTATTCTCAATAGTAGCCAACTGTTTTGTAACGTGTCATGTGGTATTATGTAGGTTTCTGTTTGTTCAGTCTCAGTATTGTTTTCTGATTTCGTGTCTTGTCTGGGGATTAACTCTGCCACACATTTTGTTGAAATAGGGAGGGGGGATGCAGTACTTTATTGATTAACATGGGAGAACATTTAGGTGAAAAGAGCTGCAGAGCTTGAGAAACACACAGTTCAAAGTATACACACCGTGAAGAGACGTAGAAAAATTTGCTTTCATATAAATTTGCCAATTGCTCCTTTTTTTTTTTTAGTTTTTTTCTCTCTGCAGTAAATGCTTACATCAAATCTATCTTGCTGCATTTTTTTGCATTGTAAAGCAGTAACAGTGACCTTTGAAGAGGAGAATCATTTTGCTTTAGTATTGAAAGAGTTAAACACTGGAGTAGAGACTTTTCTATGGGTCTGCCAATAAATCATGTAGCATTCTGAGAGTGTTGAAATAAATAACTGAAGAAAATGTTCTGCTTTGCTTTCAGGAGTTGCTAAGTCGAACATCACTAGAGACTCAGAAATTAGATTTAATGGCTGAAGTTTCTGACCTGAAGATTAAGCTGGTTGGTATGGAAAAGGAACAGAGTGAATATGAAGAGAAAAAGAACAAAGCTGAGGTGAGGGGGTTTTTATGAGCTTGTTTTCTTTTTTTTTCCTGTTGTGTCTAGTCTATGCTGTCACACACCTGAGCTTTAGAGCTGAAATCAGCATGCAGTAGGATTTTCCATGCTTACAGCACAGTCCGTATCATTGATCCTGTGAACTCGGTGAGGAGTATGATTATGCATTTTTGGGATGTGGTTTCTTTTCCCCTCTCTCATTATACTTCAGAGGCTGCTGTTTGGCTTTAATCAAGGCACAAAGTGCCTTCCAGAAACATACATTACAGCTGGCATTCACTTAACCCTTTCCTTTTCCCAGAAGCTGGACTGGCATGGCCGTGTGAGGCCTACCAGAGCTCTGCTCTTTCCTCGTTTATAGGACAGACTGTCAGCTAAGTAGTTTCAGGGGTGCTACAAAAACTTAGATGATCACCCTTGGTGATTTTTAATGCATCCATGGCACTTGAGAAGGGAGAGAAGGTCCAGGGCATTTTCCTCAAATGAGCCTTTCTCCCTGTGATTACATAATAAATAGTGCACAAAAAATGACATGCATTGGAGGCAATTCTAATCCTTACTCCTCTTTGGATGTGGAGAGTTCTGGATATCAAAGAAGCTTTGCTTTTTACTACATTGATTGAAAAAGAGAGTATGGAACAGGGAATCATATGAACAACATCCATTTCATGGCAGTAAGCAGCAGGTGAAAGCTGGGAAGGAAAGTGATTACAGAAGAGAGTAATTCTTAGGAATTGCCAGGTATTGCCCTACTCAGTGGCACGTTCCGCACTGACTTAGGAGAATTTGAAATCCAGGCAGTGTTGGAAAACTGTTCCCCGTAATGTTGCTATTGGAATATTCAATAACTATGTATAAGTAATTTACCTGCAGTGATATAATATGTTTGGGGTGTGTTTTGTTTTTTGACTTATTTATCCTCTGAAGTTTTCTTTAGAGATTAAAAGATAGCTTAAAGAGAGCAATTTCTGGCAGCGTTTGCAAGCCAGAGAGGCAGCAGCTGCTGTTTTTACCATCTGGGGGCCTTCTCAAGCTCTTTCACCCATAATTGTCAGTGTCTGAGTACAGAAGGCCTAAGCAGTCTCACACTACGTGTAAATCTGAGCAGGTCTGTGCAGCGCCCGACTGCTACAGATGGCAGCCTGCTCCCAGCAGCCGCCTGCCCGAGAGGCCTTCAGCACTTCCCAGTTGGTGGCAAACACCAGCACCAGGACGTGCCCAGCCAGCCTGACTCCTAGAAGGCAGCAAGGTGTCTGCGTGCATTTGCATTGACAGGACTTTGAACCACCCAGTAGGGCTGGGGCTGTGATGAGGGTGAGGCTATGGCCTCTGAAATTCTTCTGCCACTGCAACAAGGTGTGTGTTCCCCTTAGATGGAAAAGTTGAGCTTTGTTGGCCCGGGAGCCTTTGTTGTATTGCTGAGTGATAGGAAACGTTCCTGCTGAGATGGAAAAGGATTCTAATCTGATGGTAAAGTTGAGAATCATTGTGTTAAATATGCGCTGAATTATTAACTACCCCAAGGTGTGATTAGATTTCTGGCCTGTTGAAAGTCACAGACCTGTGTATGCAAAGCAAGGAAAATGGGTGTTGTAAGTAAAGTGGGAAATAAACAACATTTTTGTTTGCTTGTTGAGCCATTTAAAAAATTATTTTGGATTGTCCCAAATAAGCATTAATCCAATCTGTCAATGTAAACAGGGGTTGCTTTCCGTCAAATTGGATGCTTACTTAAATTCTAATGCTTTAACCTTATTTTGCAGCATCTTTTACTGTAAATTTTACTAATCTATCAAACACAATTTCAAACATCAGAATAAAATTTATTAATATATTTTCTTTGTGCTGTTACACTACAGCTGCTGCTTAAATTCAGTGATAGTTTGGGTGTCTGCCTGAATCCTTGCCTCCACTGCCGGACTAATCCACTCTTACATATTCAGAGTCTACCTTTAGATTGCTGCTGTTTACCCACACGCAGCCGTGTTGTGCTAATCCAGTTGTTTCGGAGTGAGACAGTTCTCCAAACTGACGGTGACCAAATGAAATTAATCTTGCTGCAGTTGTAGCTCTGAATGTCGAGGCTACTACAGTGTGCTCTTGCAGCGTATAATGCCTCAAATAGCGGTTAGTATTTTTATGTAGGTGGAACAGAGCTATGGGTGGCAGAGCTAGAGCCTTTCTTACAGACTGCAGCTGGCCAGTTGAAGCTTTCAAGACTGATTTTAGGATTAACAGGTGAACAGAACAGTGATTTGATAGATTTGCTGCTATCAGAAGTAATAGGCCTCAGTTTTCGCTTTAGTGCCTGTGTTAGAGGCATGTAGTAGTTAAGCCATTTTAAACAGCTTGTAAATTATACTCCACGTCTACCCTGCCATTTCTAAATATAATAACGGGGTTTTAAAAGTTTAAAATTAAATGTGACATTGCAGAATAATTCAGCTAAAACATGTTTGCTCTGTACTCTAATGTCGGCTTACTTCACAGCAGCTGTTTCCAGTCACACAGAATTTATCTATAGAATTATTTCTCTGGTTGGGGGGAAGCAAAGCAAATTAAGATATCCTTCCAAATATGAGCAAGTTTTAATGTGTCAGATTCATTTCACTTTATCTTGTGCAGCTGTGGTTTAGTTTTGGTTTTAGTTAGCAGCAAAGAGTTTATCAAGCATCTCTAACCTCCTCTCAAAGGTATTAATTTCAACACTGAATGCCACTTGTCTCTGGCTCTTCAAAAGCACAGGCTAAATTTAAAGTGCCATTTATTTATATAGAAAACACAGGGGCTAGGAGAAGAGCTGTTTGTAAATGGACCGTCTCGCTCTTGTCTTTGTCGTTTTAATTCCTTTTTTGTGGAATAATGTTCTGCTTTTGCCACAGTGATGCTGTGGAGGTTTCTGAAATCCCACCTGAGGGAGCTTATGTAGTTTTTCTCTTACTGGAGAAGCCTTAAAAATTTTGGAAATAGCCTTTCTTAATGTAGCAAGGTATGAGCAACCAGCGTTGTCAAGTGATTAACTGCAGCCCGTGTGCGTGCTCTGAACACGGACAGAAGAGACCTTCTATCAGTATCCGGAGACTGCAGAAGTAATTCTCCATTTCAACTTGCTTAACAACCCTTTTTCTACCCTACTTTTTTTTTTTTTTAGCATGGGATAAATTCTGTGGTTTTTACTTTTTCGTGCTGAGGATTTGAAGTTTGCTATAAGCTGTTGGGAAGTGTTCTGTGGCTTTTGTGTGGGCACTACTGAATTAAATATGTAGTGCAGAGTTAATTGCAATTTCAAAGAAACTTGGGTCGGTGAGCCACTGACTGCCCAGTGGGGAGTTTGGTGTGTTGTCTCACCTGAATCATATTCAAGATCTAGTATATTGGTGTTAATAAATTTTCCTGCTGTGAAAGAATCTTAAAAATGAGAAGCCTTTTTTCTATCTTGAAGCTAGGAACAACTGTAAAGGCAGATATTGCAGCTGGAGCTCATCTCTTTCTCTTCCATAGTTCCCTTATCCTTCACTGGGATAAGGATTTCTGCCATTGCTGTACTGTCATGTTTGCCCTGAGGGAAGCCTCTCTGGACGCCAGAGTATTTCCCATTCCCATTTTTGATGTGAAGCAAAAGAGAAAAGAATTACAAGAAGTCAGCAGAAATGTTTCTGAACTCTCCCACATTGCTATAAGTGGAGCAGCTGTCAGTTTGTGCTCAAAAGTTCATGCATCTTGTTTGAGCAGTGGTTCTTCAGAACCTTGCATGGGTTAACAGTGTTCTCCACCAAAGACAAGTACAAACTAAAGCCTTAAAAGAAAGCAAGGGAGATGGACGTGTGTCCTGACGATTCAAATCTCCAGTTGTTACTGCTCAGTGAGGTGTCTGATTGTGGACAAGGTGGTAAAAAAGAAACAAAATCCAAGCATGGAAGATGGAGGGGTTGTGGATAGTATCTCAACTGGAAATACAGCTAGTAGTACGGGTGTTCTGCTTTGCAGTGCTCTGATGAGAGGATGAGTTAGCAGGAGATGTTCTCCGCACCAGGCTCCTGCCGTGTTGCTGCAAAGTGACTAATGTAGCTGCTGAACATAAAGGATATGGTTTCCCCTAGGGGAGCTTTTCTTACCCTGTGCAGCCCTGGCAGAACATGTCAGCCTGTAAAAGACTGGCTATTGCAGAGTCGGTACGCTATGGCCCAGTATTCTTTCTAAATTTTTTGATTGTTTATGGAACTAATCCTTATTTATGTGCACTGAAGCTTTGCTGGATGAAAGAGGATGAGCATCAGACATTGTGATCCTGATTGAGAATAATATGTATAGAGTAAAAGATATACAACGGCTTTTCTGAATTTTGTCTTAAGCACAGCGCCCTAGAAAATCAATTAATTTATATGAAACTCTTTTACTGAACTGATACATACACTTTTGAAAGGAAATCTTTGTGAACGTCTGAAGTTGACTGTGGATGCTGATGCAGTTTGAGATTGGTTGTGTTAAATATTTACCTGGTTGGAATAGTGTCCTGTCCTTGTAGTAGCTGTTCCCTAGCTTTGAGATAACAGGAGGACTGATCTGCGTTGTAATGAAGAAAATGGGGGGGGGAATAAAAAAATGCTATGTCATCTGTTGTTCTGTGCACTAAAATCTTTTTCACTCCTTTGGGAGATGGATTTCCTCAGATTTATTCCACTTGAGTAGATTGATAAATCACAAAACATATGTTGTTAATGTTCTTGAAACTTAAGAGAAAGACAGTCCAAAATCACAATACCTGAGGAAAAAACCCAGCACTATATGCTACTGCTTTTAGGGAGTTTAAATTAAATGTTATCTAGATTTTAATACTTTGCTTTGCTTTCTGTAGCTGGATATTTTTGTGTATATCACTGATACACACAAATCCAAGAAGCTGTGGCCAGCAAATTGATGCACTTCAAATTCATTACTTTTTATTCTGTGGTATCCCTTTGATTCCTCCTCTGTGTGTTGCTTAACTCTTTCCCCCTGACAATATACTGCCTAGCTAGCAAGCTAGGTAATGGAGTTATTTTTCTGACCCATGCTAGACCTGGAAACAGAATTACTTTACTGGTAAATTCTGAGTGTAAATTGTGAGAGAGTAGGTTATGGCCCCAACTGAGCACTTAGCAATTTCATCCTAGTGGATGATTTGGCTGTGTGAATGAAAGTAATCAAGACCCATTTCAGCAAAAGTGTGCCTCTGAGACAGCATATTAAAATATGTTCCCATTTTTCCTGATATCGGACTTCACGTGACTATGTTTCCAAAAATGAGGGGCCAAATTCTGATCTTCACATTAGAATCAGAATCATAAAATAGTCTGGAATATAGATTCTGTTCTATTTAAATTGTAGCTTTGTGCAATATTCCAGATTTATACCCATTCACATAGACTTTATCAGAAGGGAAACACATCATCTGTCTTTTTTAGTTTGCCTTTGGTGTGCTCCACGTATTTTTTTGTGCTGCAACTGTAGAAATATCTTCTTTGCATCATTTGCTTTCTCACCTGTCTTTTTTTTTTTTTTTTGTCTCTTTGTCCTTTCTTCCCATGTTTTCAGTCAGTAGTGAACCTGATCAGTGAGCTACAGGAGCAGATGTGTAGACTGCAGCTGGAAATTAATAATAGAATCCAAGAAAGAATGTCTCAAGATAGGAAGCCAGACCTGACACCTAATGGTCCTCAATCTAGTCCAAGATCAGTGGTAGAGACTCTCAGCCAGAAGAATTGTTCTCGGTGTGATGTACGAGAAGTTCACCTTAGCAGAAGCCTGTGTATTGCCTCTTCTGTTCTCTTGCAGAAACTAAATTCCACTAACCAGAACTACGTTGTGAATTATTGGCATTAATCTTTGTTAGCAAAGAGTGAGGTGGTCATAAAAATTACCAAAAAAAAACAAACCCACCCACAGTTATTGGGACAAACTTGGTCACCGTTGATGTCTGTCTGCTAAAGCACAGATATCTGTAAGACCCACTCACCTTTCTCAGATTTTTTACAATTGTCATTTCGCTTGTGGGTCTGTAGTGCTGGTGTGGTGTGGGGTTTTTTGATTTCTGGCTTTTGGTTTTTGGTTGTTGTTGGGGTTTTTTTTCCGTAGTTGAGATTTGTCTGTTTGATATGAAGCATGCTAGCATGGTCTGGTATTTTGCTGATTTTCCTCACAGTAATGTCACCCTAGCTGTGCATGATGGTGCACCTTAACCAGTCCTCTGAACACAGATTATTAATTCCTAAATATCTTAGTTTAACACGGGTATAAAAATACAGTTTCAGGTAAGAGTATCTGAAATGTATCCTTTGTTTTTCTAATGATAAAGTGAATGAAAAGAGCCATAATAAAAATAATCTGCTTGTACCTTTAAAACAGCAAAACCAACACATTTTAGTTTATTCTCTGACATTAGCAGTTATCAGAAAAGTATTTTTGCATTTACATCACAGATTTGAGTTGTATTTGATCAAAAATGTCACATTTCAAGATAAAAGCGACTTTGCCTAAACTGCTTAAATTTACTGAAGGTGGAATGATATTGGTATGCTGGAAAAAGCCCATTTTAATATTTGGTTTTAAATCAGTTTGCTTTAGTTGCCGCTTTTCTTTAGTTAAAATTTGGATCCCCAGAACTCATTTTATATGTAATCTGTTTATATTGTGAGGGATTTTTTCCATAATTTTTCTCATATGTTTATTTTACAAAAATAGCTCATTTGGGTATGATGCCTGTTGTGAAAAATAGTGCTGCTGTTTCTGAGCTTGCCTCTGTCCAGAACTGAGTAGTGAAGTGTAGACTACAGGACAAGCTGCACATTGGAGAAATAATCCGGGAGTCATTCAAAAGAAACGTTACTTTAGTCCAAGATACTAGTATGGCTGTTTAATGTAGATACTATACAGGATTCCAAAATTGGGTTACACTGCCAAATTTTTTCTTTCTTCGGTTCATTTTAAAACATTTGGTCTTGTCAGTGTTCCATCAAGGATTGAATAATATTGTCCATCGGAATGAACAATAAGATACGGTTCTATCCAGGTAAAAGGAAAAGGGACATTTAAGAGACAACTTTGTCAGAGGAATAAACAGGGAATGGTAGGAACCCTGCTTGGCTGCAGCTCTAGGCTGCATCAGCTCAGTTTGCAAAGTGGCAAACATCAACGGTGAAAGTAGTGTATTTGTAGTCGTATTTGACTGTATGTGTTTGGTATTAAATGCCTGTAACTTGCTAGTTTTAGGCTGAGTGATGTTTTTCTTGGTAAGTAGCTTAAACAGCTTTTTGGGGAGCGGACTGTCACTTTAATGAAAGCTAGTAATATTTTAGCACTGCACATATCTGTTTACTTTCCGAGTGGCTGGAAATCCAAAAGAGCCCCTCAAGACACATGACTTCACGAGGCTCAACTATCTTCCTTAATATGACTAAGAAATTTGTTCATAACAAGCGGAGGGTTTGAGGAAGTATTCCTCATCTCTTAATTCAGTTTTTGTCATCTTAGCCTAGGTCACAGTTTTTAATGTGTGGTTGTGTTCATTAATGTGTGGTTCATGCATGATCACTATTTCAGGACAATGAAAAATTAATATCTACCAGAGAAATCTTACTTTTAGCTGCTGTTCTTCCTTTGCAGGGTTTGCTACAGGAACTTAGACACCTCAAAATTAAAGTAGAAGAACTGGAAAATGAAAGGAATCAATACGAGTGGAAATTAAAAGCAACTAAAGTAAGCAGAATACTTGGCATTTACTATGACAGACTTATTTCAGCTGGAAAGAAAAATGCTCCACTTCTCATCAATGTTTACTTTATGTAGGGTTGCCTTGTGTCAGGGCCTACTATAAAGTCAAGTTTTCTGCAACCATCTTTGGAATAAGTATTTTGGTTTAAAGTTTTTGCAGCTTCTTTTTGTGCCTTTTGCTACCTCCCTACAGTTTCCAGTCTTCTACCCTTTTGTAATTCTTATTTAAAAAAACAAACAAACAAACAAACAAAAGCCAAACCAACCCAACCAAACCCAAAAAAGGCATTTTGACTTAGGAAAGTCCTGTGCTGTGAGAAGCCCTCTGTGAAGGTTTTCTGTCTTTTATTTGTGTAATGGTGACAGGCCTCTGTGGAATATGCTTTCCACACTGAAGGGAAGAGACATGCAAAGTTGGTTGGGTGTTCACTTACTGTGGAATTTATTTTAATAGACTTTAAACTCAAAATACACCATTAGATCATCTGCTTTGACTTTGTGTATATCAAAGTGCATAGCTGCTTACCCTTCTGTTGACCTTAAACCCTGGAAAGCTGTTGGATTGTAACCTGGAGAAACTCAACATTTGAAACATTTCATCATTTTCCCAGAAAATTAATTTTCTGTTTGAACATTCTCATTGTTAAACAGTTGCACACTATTTCTAGTTTGAATTTTTAGCCCTTTTTCACTAGATTAAAAACCACCTTATTGTTTTTCCCTGTTGAGGTACACTTCTGTGCTGTAATTGCATCTCCTTTCATTTGTGTAGTACTATAATCCCCGTTCATACGAATGACTGACTTTTTTGAGTTGTGGTTGGATCTTGGAAAAACATTTCATATTAAACTGAGTTCTTTTCATAATACTTTACAGCTTCATCCCAAAATGACAGACAGCTATTATTTGTATTAGCATTTCTTTCTTTTGAAAATTCTTGGGCGAATGTTGAAATGTTGCTATCGTGTCTTTTTTCCCTATTAAGATAATACCTCTTGTATCCTTGAAAATGTTCTCTCTGACATGGTGGATATGAACAGTCTTTGGGAAAATATTTTCTCAGGCAGTGTGTGGCCAGCTGCCCAGACAGATAAAGATTATGAAAAGTGTAGGAGCAGAATGAAAATAAGAAAGAGGAATCGTAAAACCCATTGAGTGAGAGAAGATGGAGGACTAGAAAGAAAGAAGAATACAGGGAAAGAGAGAGGAAGCAGAAAAATCATCATAGTGATGACAGGAATGAGACATTAAAGGAGAAGGCGGCATTTAAAAGAACTATGAGATCAAATAGACCAGGGGAAGCAAATCCAAATCTGGTATTTAGAGGTCTGCAGCTTTTGTCTTCCTGTTGCTTCAACTTCTTAGATGAGAAATTGAGATATTTCCACGGCTGGATATAAAAAGCATATTAGTCACTGGGAAGTGAAGTGTAGGAGCCCTTCAGAGATGCAGCAAGGCAGATTCTTCTATTCCGTATGGAATTGCAGGCAGAGCAGTGATCGTTTGCTGCCATCCAGCTGCATGCTTGCTGGGGAAAATAGGTTTGGATTTTAGAGTAAATTAGTCCATGTTTTCCCCTGTTTGGGTAATGTTTGGTGTTTTATATATTTTCCTGCTTTATTTTAGTATTTTAAGAAAGTGGTCACATAAATGATTTTTTGGGTGTTTTGGTTTGGTTTGTTTTTTTTTTTCCCTTTAGCTACAAAGAGGTTTGATATGCCTTTGCTGGGGGAAATGCAGAATGTTGATACATAGAAGCTCTAATAGGCTGCTGAAGAAAATCTTAATGAAGCTACTGACTTAGTAAAGTGTGCTGTGGAGAGGTTTTTTTCTCATATATAGGAAAAATAACTGAGTCACTGTATTTTGAGTTTAACAGTCCCAGAATTCTCCCTCTGTATTGTTGAGACCTTTAGTGTGTGATATTCCAGCCCAATCTAGTGGCAGCACAAACTGCAGTTCATGTAAATGAACCCCTGGTATTTTGTAACGTGTGTGTGTTTGTTTCCCAAGCCATGCTTTGCTTCTAGCCTGTTCGCTGTAGAATCTGATGTGAGGAATAACAGTTTTGTTACCCTGCTGAGAGCAGGGCTCAGCATTAGTAGATTCTCAGTTATATTAAGAAGTAGTAACTAGCATTAAAAACCAGTATATTTTTTATTTATATTGCACTGTTATATTTTAGTGGTCTTCACGCAGAACTCAGGAGTTGCCCTATAACAGTCATTATTATATGACCAGCATTACAGCATTTAGAGCTTTCCAGAGTTTCTTCACTTATGTAAATCCTTGAAAATTGTATCTTTCTGTAAGTCTCTCCTCAATGAGAGCTAATTGCATTAGAAAAGGTGAGCTTCTGTAAAAGGAATAGAATAGTAACACCATGAAGTATGTACGGTAGTTAGATGGTTTATGAAATGGCCTGAATTGGGAACAGGACATCAGTCAAAGTAAAGTGTTATGCTTTGAAGTCTTGTAGTTCACGGGAAAGAATCCAAGAGGATGGGTGACAATGTTATTCTGAATTTGTTGTACTCTCTTTCAGGCTGAGATAGCCCAGCTTCAAGAACAATTAGCTCTCAAAGATGCAGAAATAGAACGCTTACAAAGTCAGCTCTCGAGGACCTCATCACATAGTGAAGTGGCAGAAAGAGGTAAGAGGAGGGGAAGTAAACATCCAAACCCCTACTTTAACTTCACTTTGCTAGCAGCTTGGCTCGGTATTTCAAAGGAATACAAGGAGATAGAAGAATGAATTGATAGAATTTATTTTGGGGAGGAAAAATGGTGCAAATTTATTTTGTCTTCTAGTAAAGTAGAGGCCTTCAACGTATGAAATAATATCCCAATCTAGAGGTGGCACAAATTTCAATAAGTATTCTAAGGACACTGAAATTTTATTTATAATTTGAAAGAATCATCATAGTTGAGTGGGAATATATTGTTTGTGTATACCGTCAAAGTTTCTTTGAAAAATCTTTACAGCTTCCATTTTTTAAGGGGAAAAAAAAAAAAAAAAGTCATAGGAGTAGCTAAGCATAATGTTTAAATGCCCAAACATCCTAAAATATAGTCATTGACTCACGTTTTTCCTTTCTTCAGGACTATATCTCATTTAGGCTCCCTCTCCCATGAAAGGTTGGACAGAAGGTCTGTCAAAGTCCCTTCCAGCCTGGGCTGTCCTATGATTCTATGATACTGCAGGTTTCTGGTTTAAATCTGCACTGTTGATACAGGCCAGTGCCAAATAAACTCGTTTGTTTAGCCTTTGGTCTCAACCAGTGGTGTTACAGCTCTCTGAAGGGTTGACTCCTTGGAGCTTCTGTCAGTTGCTGAGCTGAGAGCAGTATGATACTTGTGACCTTTTTCTTCTATAATGCTGACCCTTAGCCACGCAGGAATATTTCTGTGTAGTTTACTGCAGTGCATCAGCTTAGCTGCACTAACTTCTTTTTGGGGTGTTAACTAATGCTTCCAAAGAGTGCCCTTATTGAGATGTGACTTTACATGCTACCTCTTTCTCAGGGATTACCAAGAATCTCCTTACAGAAATTAATGCAGATGTGTTGGTTTTTTTTTTTCTAAGACTCTGTATTTTGACTGTTGTTTATTCCAAAGGAGTGACTTAACACGTAACTTGGTGCTGATTTCACTCAGCTGCAGAGCTTGTGCATGTAGAGAACTGCATGTCTAACTAGGAAATGTTTGTCTAACAGCAGTGTTTTGTAGAGAAACTCCTCTGCTAATAGAATTATGTATTTTCCATGAGATTCCCAAATAATTTACGGTATTTCAAAGGAAAGATAGTGGTGTGACAATAAATCAAGAGCCCAGCATCGTTCAACTTCTAGTAATGTGTCTGTTCCTGTTCATGCTGAAACTGGCCTTGATTCCAGTGGGAGAAGAATCAAACCCTGTACAGATTTTTTTAGGCTGCATTGAAGGAAACCACTTAAACTGTATTTGAATGGAAATAGTTTGCAGCAATAATAATTCTTCTGAAAAAAAAAAAATTACTGATTTACCAGATTTTTAGGGTGGTCTTCCCAAGTAAAGTTGAAAACTAATGTGAATGTATTTGTAGTATGCTAGAATGCATATTCTCATTAAATTGCAAAATTTATCTAATATGTGCTTTTTCTACATACTTTATTGTGACTCTCACCATTTACCATCGTAGAGGAAGTTTATAGGAGAAGGCTAAAAGAAAAACGTAAGCCTTGCAATTCACTTTTGGCTTTATCTCACTGTTCCTTTCACACAAATTATAACTCAGATGCATTCTGCAGCAATAATTCAATCTTTGTTTAGATTTGGCTGTCTAATTGTAATATACATGAGATCCTGCTTTCATTGCTTGCAGCAAGCAGACAGCTACTTGCCCTGTTTAGTAAGATTTCACTTCAGAAAAAAAAGGCAGAGGCTCACAAGTCAGATAGTTGGACTTCAAAGGGACATTGTCAAGGTTGAGAGAGGCAAAACTTAATCTTTACCTTTTTTTTATTTGTACATGTGTAAACCCCGTATAATATCTGGAAAGATGGCTGTAACTGAAAGCCTCCTTCCTTGGAGGGGAAGGATTTGAGATTTTTTTAATCAATGCAATAAATTAAAAGAACCTAAATAAAAACATTTTAAAACAACCTAATAAAAATGTTTCCATACTTGATGATGTTATAAATATTTTAAGTAAAGTTTGCTTTAATGTACTTAAACATACCTTGACACCAGTTCTTTTTGAAGTCTAATGGTTGTAAAGAGAAATTAGGACTTTGATTTTTAATGGCTTTTTAAAAATCTTCCAGTTGCTTGCCCACTGCCTGCTGGCTTTAGTTTTTGATTTGGCTGTGTCTGTGCATGTCTTGTGCTACTAAGTGTTCCCTTTTGCAAGAGAAATGTTTGCAAGGATCATTTACATGTTTTAAAACTTAATCATTACAAAGCGTGTATTTTTCAGAATCACTACAAGAAAAACTAATTAGAGTTTTTGCGAGTAATTTAGATGTGACATTGTATATTCAACATTTAGTTGTAAAACATTTTTTTTAAGCTGCTCTTTAGCACTGTTTCTTTTCTTTCTTCTCTCTCACTTCATGCGTATGTTTTTCATAGTCTATAACATGCCTGTGTTTTTCATAATCTTTTGTGAAACAAGTGTAGGTCTGGTTTAGTGTCAAAGCATGAATTCCGTGAGTGGCAGTTATAACACATAAAGTATTTTGGGTTCTGTCTCCGTCATCTACGTTTGATTTAGTATAGGTTGGTACTGGAGGACTTGCTAGGAATAATAACCTGTAGGGAAGAAATGAAAGCTTTGGCTCCACAAAGTCAGGATGACGTGATTAACAACCTCCTAAATTTTCGGAGAGTGTGTTTTAATTGATTTGACTATGGCATTCCTGAATAGCCTCTATCTTACACTAAACTGTGTGTGAGGCAATTCTATATTAGCTCTTGGTGTAGATTTTAACTTAGTTATTCATACTGAAATGGCACAAGAAAAAAAAAATTACAAGTCGTCATATCAAAATAGGTTTTGTTGTTTTTCATTTCCAGGTTTCATGAATGTCCTTGAACTACTTCTCATAAACTGGGGAATATTTTTCCCCGATGGAAAGTAACTAATTTTCAATCATACTTACAATTATATCCTTGAGTATGTAACAGCAAACACACTCTCATCTTTTGCAAAATAAACCTCAGTGTTTCTTCTTTTTCATCACTTGACTTTTAGAGTATAAAAAAGTACCGTGTAGCCTTTTATAAGCAAAACCAGCACGTTTGTGTTTTGCGATGCCTTTAATAGTTCAGCTTTTGAACAGCTCTATTTTAACTGCAGTTGAGTAGTGCATTTCCATGCCACTGACATGGTTTTGGTTACTGACAAGAATCTAAGGAGAGTATCACGAACCAGGTATTGTTTACACTAAATGTAGCAAGTATGTTTTCCTTATAACATTTTAAAAACATTTTTAGTTCAAGAAGTTCAACGGTTGAAGATAGGAATGGAGTCGTTACTGGCTGCAAACGAAGAAAAGGTGAGAAAATAATCCTTGTTCTCCCTAAGAATGAAATAACGGGTTTGAATCTCTGAAATGCTTTTTACGAGTGTGCTATTGCCCTGATTTTTTAATTATCCCATGAGACTGTGACAGAAGGTTGATTTTTAAATAGAAAGTGTGCCTGACCTTGCTAACCTGACTGCAGAACTTGGGAGGCTCATTAGATTCCCAGGGGAGTAGAAAGCCAAGGCTGTAATGAGCAGAATCTCCTGCTTTCTGTTATTAAAAAGATTGCTAAGGTTTGTTCATCTCTGGCAGCTCTGCACCTTCCAGCCTGCATTGATATCCCCAGTTGAGGTTGTGGTATTAAAATAAAGTCAAAGTGGCCTTTGAATCAGACTCAAATTTGGGGAGAAAGGGACCAGGATTTAAAGAGAAAAGAGTTTTTAAAAGTACCCAAAAAAAGTACTAAAGGAGAAGAGTGAAATTAAACCAATTTAAATGCTAAATACGGATTTTGTGTCTTATCACCTGTCACTGTTAGCCTGCCAGGCAGACTATTTAAGTGCAGGGTTTAGGGCTCAGCCTTGGAGGGTGTGGAATCTTCCACCTTCAGATGCCGTTGACTTACTATGTAAATTGTTCTCTATTTTGGGGGCAGGGGGATTAGTTCTTGAGAAAATTGTAATTCTTGTTTTATGTTAATAAACGGTGTCATAGGATTTTCCTTTATGGTGACACACTCGTGTATGATAAAATAGGCAATAATATACATCCCTAAAAACTCCCTTTAGTACGTGGGGAATCTGGACAGGGCAGTGTTAATTCTGGAGAACATTAACGTGACTCATAACAAATTTTAGTTCTTAAAAAATCAAAGAGCCAACATTTAAATCTAGAAAATAAAGGTTGTGGCTTTATCTCTTGCCAAAATTATTCCAAGTCTACATAAGATTTCTGCATTTGAAGGGAACACAAAATATTGTTGCTTATGTCCTAGTATCTGGATATACTCCCAGGGAGAGGAGGGTTATTTCCCTGGAAACTGTAGTGTTTAAACTAGTGGACTGATGGTTGACCCACTAGTTTAATGTAGAACTGTTACATTCAGTAATACTACAAAATAAAACATTACTCCTGAGGGAAAACAGCTCTAAATAGCTTTTGGGATAACTAAATCTTTCTCGTGTCATTTAGGACGAGAAGTGCTCAACTAAGTAGCTAGTAAGTGGTGCACATATTTCCTTTTAAAACACTGGGTACGTTAGTCTCAGTTCTTTGCTATGAAGAAGAACCTATTGCTTCTATCCAGAGTTGGGATAACTGGGTGTCTGGTTTAGGCCTCTCTTGCCTTGTGTATACGGGAGCTCAGCAGCAGCTACCGTTCTGTAGTGCGGTACAGGTCTGGTTTCTGTGCAGTTGCTCCTAGAACTCAGTTGATACCTGCTGTGACTGTAATGTACCACATGTGTACTGGAGCAGGTTTTAACTGAAATCTCTTTGACACTGACCTAGCTATGACAGTGCAGCAGCTCAGTATCAGATAATCGCCTGAATACCTGCCAGCTTCCCTGGAAGGTTTTTTTATTTATTTTTTTTTCCCCAGTGCCCACTTCTCTGCTTCTGTGGCTTTGCTGACACCTGCTTGTGAAACCTCGTTCTTTATGACTTGCTTGGGTTTGTATTCAGTGCTCTGTAGTCAGAGCACTGGGCCAGATCATTGCACCGGAATGGTTTAGAGCTGAGGTCAAAGAAACAGGACAAACCATAAGAGTGCAAATTGCAAGATCACACACTTAGTGACCAATAGCGAGGATTTATCATCATCAGGGACACAGTATCATATACAGAAAGGAGAGAAATGACAGATCCAAACAGTGATTAGTGCCCGTTGTTGTGTTGTGTGTGTGCAAAAGGCCAAGTGCCCTCCCTGAATACATGACTCCAGATGCTTTCTGTACATAACAGGAGAGCGCTGGGTATTGGAGGAAGAGGGGAGTCAGCTAAAGCATCAGGCATTCACGAGAGCTCATTTCTTTGGTTCTGTGCAGGTTGGACCGCCTAAGTTCAGAAAGGTGTGTTCAAAACTGGAGTAAGTGTAGATGTTGGAATGCAGAACATACCCTACAAGAGAGGAGCAAAGGCCACACCTAGACCGTTAAACCATACAAAACATAAACGTGCTTTACTTTACAACAAAAGTGTGATGTTAGCAAACAACAAATGACTGCCCACTTCAGGCAGTTGAGGTTCAACTCCAGAATATTCCCTGGACTCTCAGAAGCAGATTTCCAAATTATGTTTCTGTAAATAACTAATCTACTAGTAATGTTCAACTCCTCTGGTTCTCATATAGCCATAATTTCACACTGTCCAGCAAGTATTATGTACAATGGCTAATAAAAGCCAAGAGAATTTCCTTACAAGGCATGTGAGAGACTTGATCCTGCTTTCTGAAAAAGCAGGCCAAAATCACAGAAATGAGTGTGTAATACAGTGTTTCAGCAGGGCAAAAATGTAGGATTTTAAACATGATTTTATTTAATGCTTTTCACAGGACCGTCGAATAGAGGAGTTAACACTACTGCTAAGCCAGTACAGGAGAGTCAAGGAGATAATAATTGCAGCTCACGGTAAAATGTCTGGTGAATAAGTTTCTGATATCAGGTCTTCTAACACTGCATGCACTGCGACTGCTATTTGTTGTCCTTTTAAATATACGTGTATAGTAATGCGTGTGTTGTTACGCATAGATGTGTATCATGTTGGAGTGCTATGAGAGTAAGTATGCACTCTTTCAGATACAGAGAGCACCACACTGTGTCTTGACCAGGCTTGTGTGTTGTTGCCTGTAGTTTGTGGAGATTTCATTTTTGTTCCCTGTGCTGTAGGCAGTACCAAAAAAACAGGGTCAAAGGAGGTCAAAATAGGGTGAAAAGGAGGGAGCAAACAGCAGGACACTAGTGCAGACATAGAATTTATTGACACAGGGGCAGTTAGGAAAGTTCCTTCAAATTAGCTAAAGCCATGCGCTTACCATATTCTTATCAAATTGTGTTATGTCCCTCTCGAGAATCTGTTATTCAAAATTAAAATGGCATCCAGTTTGATTTAAAGTAATGCATCCGTAGGAGATGAATAAAGTATACAGATAGGTATTAAGTTTGTGTGGTGTTTCCTGTGACCATTGTGTTAGGAGTAACTGGTTTTTATGGTGAAAAATGTTATCAGGACACACTAGTGGATTACTAACATTAATTAAATATATCCTGTATTCAGATTTCCTACACTGCAGTTCAATTCGGGAATGGCAGCAATGATCAGCTGCCCCCAGCTAGTGTTAATGACACAGTGTTTTCCTGTGATGTCATGTTTTTTATATGGCATTCATAAAAAGGGAGCTAATCTCAGGTGCAGTTTGATACTGTTAGGAGGACTTGCTTTTCTTTTTTGCTAAAAAGAGTTGCAGTGAATATAAGTTCTATTGCCTTTCCCTTCCACTGAGAAAAGTCCTGACAGGCAACTAGGCAAGTTCTGGTTTGGAAGGAACAACCGAAACCTGATTGTTGCTTTGGTACACACATTTTATATTTAACTTCAAAATCTGGGGAGAAATCTTTGTCCCATTTCTCAACTGTGCTGCAGGAAGTTGAGTTGGGTTTTAGGAAGATCTTGCCGCCTTAGTTTTCAGTACTAAATATAGTCTGGGAAACTTGACCTTCTGATAGGAGAGTTTTGTTCAATGAACGTCACCACATTAACACACAGTATTTTCAGGTCTCATGGCAGAATGGAAACTTGTATTTAACACACAAGAATAGGGAACAAGTTGGGTAAAGCTCTCAAATGTTCATTAAAAAAAAAATCTCTCACTTGAAAGTGTTCTGAAAGGAAACCAAAGGTGCGACTGCAGCTTTGGGAGACATTGAGGTTAACGGCCAAGATAGCTACACCACCCTTACCTAAGAGTTGGTGCTCTCAGCAGTAGCCCCGTGGTTCCCCTCTCCTTGGCCGCATCCCGGCCGTACAGGTCTGAGTGCAGTGTCCACCTGGGCTTTGGAGCACACCTGTGTGTGTGTAAGCAGGGAACAAGCCATGCTGCTCTGGATTATGGAGCTGGTGCTGCAGGGAGCGCGGTGGTGCTAATGTGTGCTAGTACAGACCTTCAGTACAGGGTAAATAAAAATGCCCAGCGTAGCAAAACAAACCCCAAAACCCGTGTAGGAACCAGAGTGTATACTGAGATTGTGCATACTGTGATGGCTACAACACTGTCACAGCCCAAATGAGCTTGTTACCGCTCCTGTGTCTGGGGGAGTCTCATCCCTGAACTGAGCACGGGGCACTGCACTGTGACACAGACCACCTCAAACCTGTGGACTCCCCGAAGCGATACCCCGCGAGTAAGGAAACCAACTTGAACTTATCTCAGAACATCAGCTCTGAATTCGAGTGGTTCAGAGAGCTCAGCTACTCACAGCAGAGCACAGCGTTTAGCTACAAGTGGGAAATTTGTTGCTCTAATATAAATCAGCTTGGTTGTGAGTCAGAGCCCAGAGGAGGGGTGGGGAGCGGAGAGGCTGGTAAACGACATGGGCAGATGAAGACTGAAGGGAATTTGAAGTATTAGACTGTCTGGTATGGTCCTAAACGTTATTTTTCTGGCCTCTTTCTCTCCCTTTCTACTTCTAATCTTTAATGCTCACAGGCTCTTCTGTCTCTGGTGGCAGCGAAGAGGAACTTGAAACAACTTTAAGGAAGTGGAATCTTTTGAATAATCCTCAAGGAGAATTATTTAAAACAGAGGTACTTAGTAATGATGTTTTAGAAGCCATTCTGATATATAGATATATATACATATATATAGATAGATAAATATATATGATCTGTTTGTATTGGTTTCTCTGTAGCAGCCAAAGTAATGCAGATGAGAGGTAGACTCTGGCTGAATTTTTGTACTTCTTGGTGTGGGCACAGATTCAGAATCAGACACTAGAGTTACAGGCTTGAAATGTTTGTATTTTACACAGGGCTCTTCAGGAGAACTCTTACCAGCCGTGCTCTCTGCAGTGCCACACAAAGCTATGGAAATCAGGCAAGACCTTTGCTTCTTGGTTTTCGTTTGGGTTGTCCTGAGTCTGTATTATTTAATCTGTTTAACTGTTGGCATCTTGTCTTGCCTGTTCTTTGGCTTTGCAGGAAGGTTTGAGTAGTAGTAAAAACAGTGTTTGTGACGGGATTTTGCAATACTTAGTTGTATAAGGTTTGAATTACAGAAATAAATTGGCATGTTTATATATCAGAAGATAAATGTATTGTAGTACTTAAACCAATATATTTTATTCTGATTTAAAGTGGAAGCATTCCAGTATCTTCGAGTAATTTAACCTCTCCTCAAGAAGAATCTTTGGAAATCATAAATAGGTAAAAACAAGTAACTTTAATTGAAATGTATAACATACTGCCAGAAATTTGTTTTTATAGTTCTGCCTTTTTTCATTTTAAAAATTCCTTAATGTTGCCTGCTGTCCACAGAGAATTTTTACTGTCTACTTCTGCTTAAGAGCTTCTAAAAAGCCGTCTACTAATACAAGGTTTAAAACTGCATAGTGTGCCTTGTTGCCTTTCATTGCTGATCAAAGGACGTCTTCTTGCTGGTTTTGACTTGCATCTATTGCAGTTTCCAGTACTATGAGTTTTAGGCTAAAAATAGAAGCAACTAATCTCCTAATTCTGAATGATCTGTTACATGCAGACATCACGTGACATACAGCTGTCATATGATGTAGTTGTGGCACACGCAAACGTACCGTGGTCTATTAACTGTTGCTTTTTTGCTTGTCATTATTTTAAGGGTTCCACAGAAAAAAAAGTCAAGTAGTTTAGAAGACTTGCAGAGTGAATCCCTGGAAAAGGTTGGTTTATTTGTAATCGCAATTTCTGGTGTACTGTATGTGAAACAAAAAGAGTATTTATACCTTATCTTTTAGTCTTGGTATTATAGTAACTTGAACATTGTATGTGGGGAAAAAAAACCCAATGATAGAACACTTTGGGTTCTTTTTTTACCCCATTGACAAGCTTAGAATAAGCAAACCAGTTGACACACCCATATGTACACATCCTCAAATTCAGCTTTTTGCCCAAAAGAAAAATATTTAAGAGAAGTACAACAAACAGTGTTAATGAGGAGTCATTTTGTTGAACTGCAGTATTATTTTGTTTATAGGTAAGTGTTTTTTAAATAATTGTGACTTCCGAGTCACTAAAAATGTTAAGGCAGCAAATCCTGAAAGTAATTAAATATTGGGACGGGGTATTTCCACGTAGGATTCCTTCCTGAGTGTTTGCATGTAAATATGAGTGTCGCTCCCTAACTTAGACTTCTGATATAAATGGCATTCCTGAAGATGGCAGTGATGCTGCCGTAGTTAAAACAGCAGGAGTGCTGTTACTAATTCAAAGTCTTAATTCCATTTCTGAATAAAGACTTTCCAATTTACAAAGTCTCATTACATTACGGTCCAGAGGCTTGTTTTGTCATTATGTGCACTGAAATTTTTCTGCACTTGTAATTATGCTTTGTGAGACTGTTACTGACCCTTTCTGTACTCAGGTTAGGCCTAATTCTAGATTACCCACACCCAGCAATGCCATTTAAAACAGATACCAGTAATATGATTGTTCCAGTTCTTCAGCTCTTCATAATGTTTGGGGTTTTTTATTTTTCAAATCTCTGAAGATGACGGTGACCAAATAGAATGTTTGAAATTTGTGCTGCACTCCATTTGATTGTGGTCACACCTGTGACAAATCAGTTCAGAACTAACATTTCATTCCATGTGAAACTTATGAAGGTCTGTTTTCTCTTCATAACTTTTAAACTATTTTTCTGTCTTAAATTCAAAAACTCTTATTTGTCTCCGTGATATGATGTGATAAGACTGTATCTATACATTGGGGCTATAAATCTGCTCTGTCCATTACATCAGAGTCCACAGAAGAAGAAGAAACCACCAAGGATACGAGGGAACTGTAGAAGCCCGCCCCGTGTTCAGCAAGATATTTAAATTGTGTGCCCTAATTTAGGCATGAGGCTTCTTAGTGAAATAACTGAGATGTCCCTATGCCTGTGAGTGAGTGGCTAAATGTGAATTAGTTACAACCCAAACTAAGGCCAAGAAAACTTGTTTTGCTGACTCGGAACCTGTGCTAGCAGCACTGTTTGCTGGAACTATTCTACTTTGCACAAAACTCAAGTTCCAATTACGTTCAGCAATAATATAATAAAATAAAATAAAATAAAGCACACCAGTGTCTCTGACCTAGCCATGCTGGTATTTTTATCAGTTCTTTTCTATCACAGCTCTTAATGGTTTCAGCTGGCTACATACAGTATTGTGTATGTTCTTTTTTTTTTTTTTAAATGTCATTTTCATATTTTTTTAACTGTTAAACAACTGTTAACATTCCCAGATTAAAGTAAGTCTAAAGCGACCACTCAGAAGCCTGAATATAGAAAAAAATTCCTTTGATCACAACAAAACCTAAAACAGGAACTGAATTTTGTAGTGGGTTTGAACAAACACATTTAGTATTTAATATTTTACTGAAATGAAATGAAGAGGCAACAGACCTTGTAATATATTGTCAATGCATTAAGTAGCATCACTATAGTAATAAGACTACGATTGTTCTGTGTATGTATGTTAATACTAACATTTGTCTGTTGCTTTTTTCCATAAAACTTTGAAATTACCCTCCCTGCAACTCCATAGTATGTAGACGGCAAACCAGTACAGCCTGTTGTAGAACAAGAGGTATATTAACTGTACGATCTCTTAACATTTGTCTGTTGTGATGTGCTGTGATGGTATGGCTGTGTTTTCATTTTTATATTCATTTTTGTTTTAAAAAAATATTTGCATAGTTCCAGTACTGACAGACTCTGAGAACAGGGCTAAGGATTTGAGAGGGAAATCCTTTTTTCAATCTGAAAGCTTTTCTGTGAGGTTAGAAACCGAAGGCAGTCAATTTCAGAAAACAGAGTGCTAATCTAATAAGGGCAATAATAATTACAGTAATGTAGCAATTTCTCTACTGGATACCATTTTGGCTACAAGTGAGGATGTACTCCTCAGGTGCCAGTATGGGAGCAGGGCTGAGGAACCTGGGTGGCATTTACAGTATCACAAAGATCCCTCTGGGCCTTGAAATAAGAACAGAAAAACCAGTGATTCTCTCATTAAATGTTTTGTGTCTCATCCTGTCACAGACAGTGTTTTAAAACAATCTCATTAGAATGGGGTTACTAAACAGGAGCATACCATATACTAAATACGTTTTGCAGATTTTCAGTACAGAGTTCTCCTACATAACCTCCTCTCTAATAGAGAAACATGTACCAGTGTGAGCTTGCTCCAAAGCACACACTGAGTGTACAGCACTCCCACTGATGTCAGTTGGAGTTGCAGGTTCATTGCTTCCCTGGAAAAGCCTCTCTATGCCTGTAGTGTTGACAGCTGTGGGATACCAGAGCGATGGCTCCTTCATCTTTCCGTTGGGTTTCGGTATTGAACAAGTCTCAACGTGCCATTTCCAAAACTGTAGACAAGTACCTCTGTGAAACACATACTTTGGCTGGAAAAGTATCTTGCTCTGCTCAAAACTGTCACATTTATACGCAAATTCTAATCTACCCTTGTACGAGGAGCAAGAACTCAAGCAGCTGATCACTGAAAAGTTGGATGCAAGGAAAATTGAGCTAGTGTACTTTAGCAAAGCCTGCAGACCAGTTCCCCTCTAATACAACATAGAGAGTCCGAGGCCCACCTCCTGGGAGCTCCGTGGCTAAAGGCAGGCCCTTCCAGCATTAGCAACCTCACCATGCTCCTGACACTATCTGTGTGTGCCATAGCTGGAGGCAAGCCGTACGTTAGACTCTTATTTTAGCCTGACGTGGACAAAAATGGTAGCCAGCAGCTAGACTAGCCCTAAAATACAGCTCAGTCTATCCTTTTGTTTTCCCCTGGCTTATATGAAAAGAATAGCTTGTCCTTACATTCTATGATAAAATTGACAATTACATATTTAGCTATGTTATTTCACAACTGTATATTTAGATACATTTTTTTTTAATCTTGCATTTGTCATGTTATCTATACAAAGCGATCTTAATTCTTACAAAAGTTAAATTTTTGCACCCTAACTTCGTTGTTGATTTTTTTTTTTTTTACTGTTATTAATGGTGGTGGGCAAATATGTTTGACAAAAATTTGAGTTATACGAATACTTTTGGCTTAAATTCCAGCAGGATACAACTGTGAGTCAGAAACATAGTCTGGTGAAAAATAGGGGAAAAGATTGACAGAGCAACGAATGGGCTGGGAATTAACTAAATGTATTTCTGGCACTATCAAAGCTGACCTTGGAAAAAACAAATTAATTATTATATAGTGCCAGGGTCCGAGAGGAAAGGGAGACAGCTAGAAAAATTCTTATGACAAAACCAAGTAATACTCAGCATATATTTTAATGTAATACACAGTCTGGCTGAAGTGGGAGGGGTAGATGAGGAAGAGAAAGCTGTGTCTTAGCTAGAAAACTTTGTCAGCTAACTACTGGATTTATATTCAGTTATCTGTAAGAAGGAACAGGGAGGGGGTGGTATGATTTTACAAACGTCAAATACTTTTTCTCAACTCTTAAAATACTGTCTGTCTGCAAATGCTATGCACAATTTGATTTTGTATTTATTAACTTTATTTTTCCTTCTAAAAAACCCCAGAGTAAGCCACACGTAAAAGGCAGCAAATACCAAACGTTGCCAGGAAAGCTGCCCCGACCCTTACAGAACGGAGAGCAGGGAACCTACAGTTCACCAGACGGGTGTGGCATGAACGACAGCGATGACAACAGCATCCTGAGCCTGAGTAGGTGCCCACGCCTCTGGGGGTTATGCGGGAGGGAAAAGGCAAACTGAGGGCTAAGGACATTACTGGTGTACAGTCTGCTACGCCAGGACAACGGACTGTGACCTTCACGTGATTCAGTTCGGGGAAGTTCTTTTTTTTTTAACAATATACCAGAATGTTCCACATCAGGTCACTGAAAAGTAAAGGTTGGGTTTCAGGTGGAGTGTTCTTTTCTGTTCCATTGGATGATACAATTTGGTGACATCGCTGCTAGCATAAGGAATGGGAAGACACTTCTGTAGATTGTGGAGAGAGCTTTCTGAAAGTCAACAGATCTGTAACTAAAAATTGGCAGTTTTAGAGATGCAAACGTATTGACAGGATGAACAAGCAGTATTTTTTCAGTGCTCCCCTGAGCTTGCTGATCAGTTTTCTTAAAAAAAACAAGCAAACAAAAATGTACAGCCAAGCACATCATCGGGGCTTTTAAAAAATGTAGACTGGATTGGAGTGTTAAATGAACAAACCAACCCAGCCCTTGCCATCCCACTGCATTTCAGTGTGTGAAACTTTAGAATGTAACTAGCACTAATGTGCACGTTTTGGGCAAACATCCTCGTGCCAGCGCCGTTGGTTGTCATAGCTTGTGGGGACCCACAAGAGGAAAATAAACTTGCTAGGTGCAGAAAAACATCAGTAGGTTTTGAAAATACAAGTATATTGTTGTTCCACAACCCTAGCCATGTGTGGAAGCTTTTATTAATTACTTTTGAGTGACACCTTAAGCCTGGATTTATTGACCAAAAGTATCCCAGCGAGGCACAGAACCAGGCGTTTGCTGAGGACTGGAGAGCTCGGGAGCTCAGGCACAAGCGTGTCCCTTGTGATGCTGAGGTGTTCCTACCCTTTAGACGTTAAGGTGGGCTCTTTTGTTTGGCTGGGATCAGTTTTGTTCAGTGGGATTTTATTTATTTTAAGGCTCCGTGGTCCTGAAAGCTGCTCTAGGGTACTGTAGTCCCATGTTTCAATAGGCTGTGGGTTGTTTTAGGATTTTTTTAGGGTGTTTTTCTGTGACTGCACATTTAGGCACTGCATAAACCATGCTATTATGTCTGTAACAGCAGGATTATCCAAGGATGGGTGAACTCGTAAAGGAAGATGTTCTTTTTCTAGAAACAACCAATGACTCCTTAAATATACTGAATCAGCAGAATTGTTTTTATGCAGCTTGGTTTGTTTCTTGCATGTGCAGTAAACTCACTGCACCTCCAGCTCTGTATTTCAGAGGCACGTGACATAATCTTAAGACATTGCTTCATTTCAGATGTTCTGCAGGCTTTGTGGAGCTCTGTAGTATATGCTTAATATATTAAAATTGTCTAAGAATAGCTTTAAAAAACCCCAAACAGATAAATGACGACCTGTATATGAATCTTGGGGCTTGTTCACACTGATGCATATTCACTTCCATGTCAAGCATAACCGCTTCTTTTCATTTCTGCTTTTAATGCTTAGCTTACTTCTTTGCTCTCTGTAACTTTATTTTGCTGGTGTTTTATATCTTCTTTGCTTCTTCATCTGGCTTTCTGCTTCTTGGGATGACTGAAGATCGCATCAGGAGTGTCAGTGCGCCAGCGCTAGGTACTGTATCCAAACCAGATGCAACTTCAACAACATGAATTTGCTGCTTACCTTCTTCCTTTCCCTTTCCCCTCCCTTTCTCTGTGAAATACTAACCCCAAGTGGGCCATTCACACTGAATTCCTTAAGTGCAGTACTGAAATGAAGTAAGAGATTTTGCTAAATGGCATTTGGACAAGATTTCTTTCTAAGATAGTTATCCCTGGTTTCATTCTGCTTTCACTGAAGTCAACAGAAAAATTCCCACTGATTCTGATGGAAGAGTTCTGGTATTAGGAATTGGCAAGGGGCTGAAGAGTCTGCTTCAGTCTGAAGAACCTGAATTAAAATAATGTATTTAAATACAGATGACTAAAATAACAATACTGGTTTACTCCATGTGACTTTCTTTTTTGTATCAAATGTACAGCTACTACTTTTTCACTGTCTGAGCCTGTTTTTTTTAATACAAGAGCAATTTTATAGATAGCTTTACTTTTTTATTATGTTCTGCATTTGAACATTAGTCTCCCAGATAACAAGTTTGATGATATTTAGTGTAAAACATGACTATATTACTCTTCTTAACCCAGGAGAAACAGAGAATGTGGATGGTACAGTAGTGTCGGATGACCTTTCACCTCTTTCTTCGGGAACAGATTCAGGTCCACAGTCTCCACTGTCTCCAGAAAACAGAAAGAGTCCAAAAGGGATCAGGAAAATCTGGGGAAAGTAAGGCCTTTTTTTATTTAGTTCCCTATTAAAGCATTTTGGCTTAGAATGAATCCAGTTCTCAGCAATGTTACAATACCTACAGCAATCATTAAGGAAAATTCAGGAAAAGGAGAAAGGCAGCTCTGTGATTGTAGGGGGGTGCCCCTGGGGGGACAGAGCGGATGGTAGCGTTCACAGCCTCATGCTGCTGGAAGAAATGAGACTCTGCTGTCATCTCAAGGCTAGTAATTCAGAATGCCGACAGTTTCATCAGCTATGAAAAGTTAAATTGATAGTAAGTTGTTCATTACAGAAGGCCTCAGGTGGGAAAAAAAAAAAAGAACACAGAAGAAATAAAAGCAGGAGGCCTGGGTTTTCCTGTGTTGCCTTTCTGTACTTCAGGACAGCAGCCATGTCCACGTCTGGCCTGCAGTGTGGGTGATTGAGTGGACTGAAGGGCTGTGGCTGCTCTGCAGAGCTTTTTTCTTTCCCCAGAGGTAGGTCTAGACAGTGTTTGCCTGGAACTTCTTCAGCTCCCACTTGAATTAGATGTTTGTGGTTTACAGGAAGACTAATACAGCTTCTAGTTGTCACTGTAGTTTCCATATGAAAGAAATGTTCCCTGTTGCAAGCTAATAGTACTATTGTGGCACTCTTGTCTTGAAAGAATAAGAAGAACTCAGTCAGGTAACTTCCCTGCAGACGATCTGGGTTTGGCAGAGTTCCGAAGAGGTGGTCTCCGTGCAACGGCTGGGCCTCGCTTATCCAGATCGAAGGAAACCAAAGGCCAGAAAAGGTAACAGCTGCTCCCTCCCCTTGCCCAGCTGTTAGGTGGTATAGTTAAACGTGCTGAACACCACAGCCTCCTCTCCTGAAATACGGTTTTCCCAACGTACTTCTTTACGTGTGGAATTCCACAACAACCGGAAGGGATTTCTCTGGTAGAGAACGTGTCCTGAGGAGCTCCCCTGTCTGCACTCCTTCACCTGCAGGTAGCTGAGGGAGTGTCAAACATCTCACCTTGTTAAAGAACGAGAAAACTCATCATCTCCTGTAGGAATATCTGCAAAGCAGTGAGGATTCAGAAATTCCCTTCTTTGTCGTTTCAATTAGAAAACGGGGAAATTCTTACTCACAGGCACCTCCCCTGCTCCCACAGCCTCGATCACTAGCTGAGGCTGGGTGGCCGAGTCAGCAGGACCCCAGCCCCCGCGGCTCGTGTTACAGCTGCACCTCTGGCACACCGTCACCTTTCTGATAATATTTCTTGTACTTTCCAGTGACCACAATGCTCCGTTTGCTCAGTGGAGCACTGAAAGAGTTTGTAACTGGCTTGAGGACTTTGGTCTCGGTCAATACGTCATTTTTGCACGGCAGTGGGTGACTTCAGGCCACACGCTGTTAACTGCGACGCCTCAGGACATGGAGAAGGTAATAACCTCCAACTGATTCTCTCAAGCAACCACACATGTTGGTTCTGTACAGCCAGGCCCTTCACAAACACTTGGCAGTTCTGCCTTTCTGAAACACGCAGTATCAATTTTTGTAGATACCTAATGAGATGAAAAGAGCCCGAGGCAAGGCAAACTTTAATGGTTATTGTTGCAGGAAATGGGAATAAAGCATCCGCTGCACAGGAAGAAATTGGTTTTGGCCATTAAATCAATAAATGCAAAACAAGATGAGAAGTCTGCACAACTCGATCATATCTGGGTGACACGTAAGTGTTTGAAGTGTGGTGCAACTGTTTGGAAAGGAATTTCCCCCACCCCTGTGGCTGGGCTGCCTGGTACGGGTTTATTTAAGCAGTTACCAAACACCTTTCTAAGAGCACCAAGTTTCAACATCATCGAATTGAGGATTTTTGTGGTGGTCTTGACATGCAAATATGCAGCTACAGAGTGTGATCTGCCAAGGGGAACTCTGTCACCCAGGCTGCAGGAAAGTGAAGGGGGGCCCTCAGCCGTGCAGGAGCTACGCTGTGCTGTGGAAGGGGTGTGCTCAGTCACACACGTAGGGAAAACATCACGGGGGGAAGTGCTTGTAGGCTTCTGGTACGAGGCTGTGCTCCTGCGAGGTGGCAGGCGGAGCGAGCTGCCCGAGTGCCACGGCAGCGCCAGCCCAGGCACCAAGGGGACACAGGTGTCACTCTCTGTCGTATCCGCAGGGTGGCTCGATGACATCGGTTTGCCTCAGTACAAAGACCAGTTTCATGAATCCAGAGTTGATGGGAGGATGCTGCAGTACTTAACTGTGGTAAGCTACAACCCCCTTGCCTCAGCTTAACCAAATTTAACTTCAGAGTGAGAATTTTTTGCAAGACAGATAGTGCCAGTAGTAACTCATCTGTGTTGTCTAGTGCATGATGACTATTCCTGAGGTACATAAGTCATAGAATAGGTTATCACTCAGTTCTGCAAAGTCTTTCTTTCAATATCATGTGGCGCACCACAATTAATGATAAAACTCCACACCAAGGTAGCAACAATATTCAGTGAACTAAAGGTAAGCTGCAAATCCAGATATTTCTACAGCTCCAACCACATCAGTGGCAACCCATGCACTACACGTAGCTACTGTTTTCATAATTATCTGAACCTGGGCAGAGAAATAAGTATTTGGTTTTAACTGTGCTAGGCATTTTTTTTCATAATTTACCTGTTACCAGAAGCACAGCCTTGTCTACACTGCTGAAGGAGCCTGTGTTACAGGAGCACCGTCCCTACTGTTCGATGGTTCGGTGTGTGCTGGAGCTGCAGTGATCCTCTCCCAACAGATCTCAGCCAGATCAGAAACAGTCCAAATATTTTAAAACTGTCCATGAGCCTGGATATTATTTAATTGGCTACGAGCTCTCCTTCATTTTTCAGCCAGGTCCTGTGATGGTGCATGTTTAAAAAACAAAACAAAACACACAAAAAAACCCCCAAAACCCCTACTTTAAAAAACCCTCTTTAAAATATAAACTTTCATTTTACCTAAACCACAACTCCTGCAGCTTATATAAAACCACATAGGAAGCTTAAAATCTTTCTTCTTGGGAAAGGTACCTGTGTGGTACGTATTCTGTGCCACCTAAAAGACTCTCTCCTTTCCAGAACGACCTTCTCTTTCTGAAAGTCACCAGCCAGCTGCATCATCTGAGTATTAAATGTGCCATCCACGTGCTGCATGTCAACAGTTTTAACCCCCACTGTCTACGCAGAAGACCAGTCGAGGAGGTAAACGAATGTTTAAATAATTTAAACTAGCACCAAGTACCCGATGCCAGCCAAAGGGGATAAAAAGCGAGCAGTGCCCCATGATGCAGCAGAACCACTGCGAAAGGGAACAGCATCTAATTAACGCTGCGTTCCAGCTCTGGAACGTGGCACTGGTACCACTCACTGAGGATAAACATCCACTCAGTCCCTAAGTGCTTGAGCTGCTTATTAGTTGAATCTCAACACCCTTCCCTTTAGAAATTACTCGCCTGGTTTAAAGTTAATGCAACTTCCAAGGGAGTAATTTGGAATGTTTTTTCTTTGCCTGTCCCGATTTGTAGCTCTGGAAGACTGTAAGGTTTGTGCCTTCCCTGGTCAGCATAGCTTGTTCTCTCAGTATTAAAGTCTGACAATAATAAGGTTTTCAAAAAGCTCCTTTTACGCCCAGCATCTGTAACCTCTGCTGTTCTACTTGATGCAACATCTGGGGTTTCACCTGTGCTCACCTGTGCCTGCCATCCCCTCAGAGGATGTCTGAAAGAGGCCTTGAACAGAAGCAAAACCTTACTGTCAGGCAGGGACAGTGGTTTTTTCAGAACTGAGGATACATACTGCGAACGTGCAGTGGCAGCGCAGGCTACGGCGCCATCACCTCCTCTGGTTGCTTTCACAGAACAACGTTTCGCCCTCGGAAGTAGTTCAGTGGTCCAACCACAGAGTGATGGAGTGGCTCCGATCAGTGGATCTGGCCGAATACGCCCCAAACCTGCGAGGAAGCGGCGTGCACGGCGGCCTCATTGTAAGAACTGGTTTTAACATTTCACTACATATTACAGTCTGTTAATTTTTAGTAGATACAAAACATCTTCTCTGGTGTTTGTCAAGCGGGACAGCAATAAGACAGCACGATCGTGCCTTCTAAGGGGAGCCTCTTTATCTGATCCATGCATCTTAATTTTATAAAAGAAAACAAAAAAAAACCCTGCTAAAGGGGGTTTTGTAATCAAAGCTGAGTTGTGCATAACTGTTTAACACAGCAGTACATAAAAAAAACCCCAAACCAAACAAAGTTATTTATTGGTAAGGCATCACTGTCTCCTTGAATGGTTCTAACAGAATCCTGAGCCAACCGTCCTGAACTTACAGCGGTCTTGACAGCAATCAGAAATTATTTTTTTTTTAAATTTCAAAACATTCAGAACTATTTCAGCTTAGTAAAGTCAGAGTTCTGAAATACTGTGATTCTAGTGTTGTAGAATTGTTGCAAAAATGAAATAGAAAAAATTGTGCTAAGATTATGTTCTGACTAGAGCAGAAAATTCTGAAACCAAACTTGTTCAACCCAAACAGAAGGTTTGCTGATAAATATAAATAAGTGTTTGCCTGACTGGGCGCTGCATTTCTTAGTGCCTGCTTTCATGGATTCCCATTCAAACCCCAGTGAGGTTCATATTGGCAGCGAGCTATAAAAGGGTTGATGCAGCTAGATAGTGTAGTAAGAATGAGAAATCGCTCTGATAAACACTGTGATGGTATTTAACCGTATGAAAAGTTAATATTCTGCCGTTTTTTCATAGATTCTTGAACCTCGCTTTAATGGTGACACGCTGGCAATGCTGCTGAATATTCCACCTCAAAAGACCCTGCTGCGACGCCACCTGACAACCAATTTTAATGTATTAATTGGACCAGAGGCACAACAAGAAAAAAGAGAAATAACAGAGTCGACAGCATACACAGCTCTGACCACCACTGCCAAAGTCCGGGTAGGTCCCACCTCAGCATCTCCGAGTGCCTCGCCCCTGCCTTACGAAGAAAATAGGGGACAAACATGGGCAGGGAGAGGTCAGTTCTAGAAGGGTGTCACATCCCATTTGTATCTGTTTAAATCAGCTTCGGAAATAAGCGTGGAATCCCTTCTGTCTTTCTGTAGAAGGAACACGACCTAAATGTATTTAACAAATATCAATAGTAACTCCCAAGAAGAAAACATTTAAATTAGATTAATTTAGTTCAGAATCTATCTATTTGAAGGATGAGGGTATAGCAGTAAATAAAAAGGAGAGGATTTGTAATGTTTAAAGGACAACCTTATTTTTCATAATCAAAACCTGTTACCTTATTTTAGCCAAAGAAGCTTGGATTTTCACACTTTGGAAACTTGAGAAAAAAGAAGTTTGATGAATCAACAGACTACATCTGTCCTATGGATGCGAACCCAGCTGCTGCCAATGGTACTCAGAAAAACTATGGTGGGCACAAAGGAGTGAGCCCATTGACTGACAGGGAACTGGATCAGGTGGGGCAGACAGACTGATGCCATTCCCATCTCATCCTCCCCCTGCATTCCAGAGCTTGCAAATAACCAAGCGTTAGCATGTCCCAAAGCCTGTGCTACACCCGCATGAACTTACTGAGAAAGTACGGGCTGTGGACACTGGAAAGAGTTTGTACTAAGAGTGTCAGCTTAATCTTTTTTAATCAACATCCTAATAAACTCATCCATCTTCAAGCCCTTTTTCAGGAATATAACACCTTTTACACGATGAAGATCAATGTATTTTGGCAATTAAATTAAGGTGGTGGTTGCAGTAAACACAAGACTTTTGTACTTCTAGCTTTCGTAGTCTCAGTATGGCAACTTTTTTCATTATCTCTATGGGTGGTTTTTAATGTAATAAATTTATTTGGATTAATTTGTACAAAGCTATCAAGTTATATATTAAAGTACAACAGGACTGTATATTTTTAGCAGCCGTTAATCGAAGAATCCGTCTCATTATGTACAGGGGGGACTAGTCATGCTTAGACGGTGTATGTGAGCACAACGCATCAGTAATGTTCAAGCTTATTAATAAACCAATACTTGAAGGATTCACTTCTGTTACCTAGTAGTGAACTTACAAATGAAACTGTCTAGACATCAATACAGACAAATGCTGAAGACTAAAAAAACCCAATTTACTCAACTTTGCTGTTGTGTAAATGGATGTAAACCCTGAAAAATGGAGCTCCTGGAGGCTTGTGTGACCTTTGGCAACACACAAGAGGCAGCTGGGGTAAACTGTCCTACCTCCAGTGGCACTCAGTGAGATAAGAACAGTTTCAGCCTGATAAGAGAATAGTCACAAGACTGAAAAGTAATTGTGAAAGCCCTTTTTCCATGTGCATGGTTGACTGCATCTAACCTCTCATCTGTGTTCATCCTCTAACCCTTGTCTCTCCCAGCGTGCGCCCCCAGCCCTGTCCCTCCTCGGCAGGGACAGAACCCCGCACGGGCTCTGCCTGCACAGCCGGGAGCTGCACCCGGTGTCCAAGCACACGAACCACCGGAGTTTCCTGTAGGAGCTGGTCCCTCCGTTAAGGCAGGGTCCTGCAGGGACACCTCCCTGCCCCAGAACCCAAAGCCTTCGCCTCTGAGGACAGGGAGGACTCACTTCTGGCCGGGGAGAGACGACTGCCAGAAGGAGAGTGAGGCTTACACCACTGGGAAAATATTACTCTTCATTGACAATACCAGTTAAGCTTCAATTCACACAAGAAAAGAAAAAGCTTAAGTTTCATGGAATCAGCCTGTCTTAATCAGGATTCACTCCTCCTGTTGTTAAATGCATTTTCACCTGCCTTAGAGCATGGAGGCGTTTTTGTTAATAAGCAGAAATCGGAGCTTTTAAACTTATCCCAGCTTCATCTGTCCCGGCACAGATACCTCCCAAAGCTGCATGTAGAGTGAATAAAACTGCACATACTGTCTGATTTGAACTAGTTCCTGAATACTTTTACAGATGGAACATTCAGAAGGAACAGTAATGCAAATAGGGGCCCTTTCTCAAGGCATAAGCCATCTCACGGTAAGTACTAATTCCTCTCGTTTTAAAGTCACAAATGTATGCTAAATTCAGTGAAAGTCGGTCATTGCTGGCGGTAGTTAAGAGTAAGTGGGTCACTGTTCTTGTTAAATTCCTCTTTATAGCCTTATTGCATATTCTCAGTCAAAACACCCCTGCTTTTAAATCACACTAGAAATGAGGTTTCATTTAGGCCTATTTTAATTTTTCATGAACTTCACTATCTCTTTGACCCAAGGAGAAATATTTATGCCCTTAAATGAAAACAGTGCTTCAAAGATTTTGCAAATAACCACCATCAAATGCCTCAGTCACAGCAAAGTCAAGCAGAGGCACAGACTTGAAAATTTACATCAGCTAAAACTCCACAGAAAACAACCGAAAAATCAATATTAATTCATGACTCCAGAGCAGCTGATTTTTAAAATAGTTGACTGAAAGGTATAATGAAGAATTACATAACGTAGTAGAGTCACATGCCACACACAAAATCTCTGGGAATTTTCCTGAGCAAATAATAGTTTATTTAAACCTGCATTCAAGAAAATCCCTGTAATTTCATGTGGCTCTAACCCCCTCTGTTGTGGATCTGGTCTCATTACAGTCGTATTTCTTTCACTGTAAAGCCTCGAACTGAACACGCTTACTCATTCCCATCTTGTTTTTTCAGACGATGTTAAGCCAAGATGAAATGCTGAACGACAGCAGATTTTTAACACCTACCTTTGAAGACTGGAGATGATGTTTCGACACGACCAAGGACGCTGCTGATACCTCATGCCTGTCCCGAGGGGGGCCAGGAGAAGCCGGATGCTGTGGTGCAGGAAGGCGTCACCTCTTCTCTGCCAGTGAGACTTTACCACACAGCATTGAATAGTGTCAGTGTAGGAACACCTGACAGGTAACTCTCCTCTGCAATATTTTCTGTATTTCATAATGGGAAATCGGTGTTGAGAGAGAAGTGGTTCTCATATCCCGAGTCTGGAAAGCCAAGGCCAGCAACACATCTTACACCTTTTTATTTGGTCATCTTTTACATGGTATGTTTATGTAGTGTTACGTAAAAGATCTTTTGTATTTTTTTATAATTAACCTGTACTGCAGAAATCATTAATCATCTGTTATGCCATGTGGACTATTAAGAACCACCTAGAAACTCAGAAGGATGGTGGTGAGCGCAGCAGTAATGGCTCACGGCCTACCACGGCAGCCTTGCCTAAAGGCTGTTTCCCACTGAAGGATTTTAATCTCTCACCCCTTTCATTAGCACACGTCCCGCTCTCTTTTTGTTTAAGTGCGTGCAGTGTAGAATGGGAGGAATGGATCGTAATACTCTCCATCGAGCCCTTGCTTTTATCAGGAGGATGACAGGATGGCAAAGAAACCTTTACCTAACCCCAACAGATGCTGAAAACTGCCAGAAAGACTGATGGACTCAAAAGCTGGGGCTTCATTTGAAGTGATTTTTTTTTTTTTCAATCGTGTGATTTTTACATGTGTACTAAATGTTCACTGTCAAGGAGAAACCACAACATTTAACTAATGTAAAATGAAACTTTAAGAATGGTGTTTGCTGCACTCTGGAGGGCAGGTGCAGCAATTCCCCGTGTGCTCAATTGTTTGGTTTTAAATGACAGTTCTGTAAGTAGAACCACTGAATCTGCTCACAAGCCTTCTCAAAAGTGGTTCAGTTTTCTGAGCCCCACAGCTGGTTGGTGTGAAACACAGTACTGGCTCTCAGGAAGACAGGGATGATGATAATAAACCTGTTTTCTTTCCGTAGTTACACCTAATTAAAACACAGGGCTGCAAACAGTCCTGAGGATTGGAGATTACAGTAGAAACACTTGTGTAACATTTGCATGGGAAGGGGTGATGCTGTATACAACCTTGCTGTTGGCTTTCAGTTCTCTCTTCATTCCAGCTACAGATAGATTTTAATAGAATATTTAGCAATAGGGGACAAACCTTACTGCTCTGTGATGTCTAAAATGTGACTAAGGACCATCAAGCAAGTACCACACTAAAAGTCCTTTTTTCTTTAAAAAAACTGACAAAATAGATCTGTTGCTGTTCTACTGAGCTGGGCAGGACTGCAGTGCTGTAACACAGGGAAATACGGCCTCCTGCTGCCTGCTTGAGGGGCTGTTCGAGGGGGAAAGTGTCTCCTTCACGGCAGCAATTACATGTGCCTCGTGTATTAACAAGGTATTAACAAGATACCTTAGTAAATAAAGAAATGCCAGAAAATATATTTTAATTGTAAAGAAGAGACTTAGGATATGTATTGATGGTTTGTGTTATCTCTCCTTGCTGACTTGTCACTCCCAGGCACAGCCCCCCCAGGCCAAGGGGAGGCTCCGGTACTGTCCAGAGCTATCACTGGCAGTTCCTCAAGGTGACCTGTTCTAGTCCTCACTCCATGAGGGACCCTGCACTGTAGGGTCACATTTTAGAAGCTAAATACATGATTTTATTGTCCAAAATGGTAAAACCAAGGCAATTTTTTTTAATCACTGAACAATGAAATGGCAATAGAAAATCCAAAGCAATGAGAAGTCAGTCTACACATCAGCAAACTAAAAATGATTAATAAAAGGTATTAAACATACCAGTCAAGTACATCCTCAATCTGTCAATGCAATCAGCAATCATGTACTATGGGCATTTGAAAGACTTCGTCAGGTAATTAGCCAGCAGACTTACTACAGCACTACAGACAGGATAAGCTGCTCCAACAGATGCAGCCGTAACATGACTGAGATAGTCCAAGTGGCTTTTCAGATTTGGTTTGGTGATGTATTTATTACTCTGTGTCTTGTGCTAACTTGGCTGTGAATAGTCAATATACAGAATTACTGAATTTTTTTTACTATATACAGTAAGAAATCCTAATTAGCATAACACTGGCATAAATGTGGGGTTTTTTTGACTGTTATGAATAAATTCTGAATGTTCCTCCATCTCTTGCTGACCATGGATGATTCTAACAAAGACACGTGGTTCATCTCTCATCAGGGACAGAATCACAGTCTGAATCACTGTTGTCTTTCTTTGCATTATTGCTACAGATGTAAGTTACGAAATACAAAACCTCTGTGTCATTTTATAACTTGGATTCCTTTTGATTTGCTTCAGATGAATAAAAATATTTAGTAAACATATTCATTAGTACCTGAAGAAACAAGTCTTCTGGCTCAGGGACCCTAAACCAAATGGAGTATCAACAAATTCCTGGAAATGAACACGCAGTCCTTCTAAGTATTAAATGCTATGAATGAAACGCGACGTGGTAAAAACACAAAGGTAAGGTATTAAGTGAATACGAAATGGACTCAGCATAGCTCACAACAGGAAGCCAGAAGCCATGTTTTCTCATAAGCAAAGACAATTTCTGAGACTGCCAAAAGAGCAAGCACCACACTTGTGCAGAATGCCAGGCAGCTGATGCAGCATCACTGGTCATGTCTGTATATGCAGCCCTGAGCTTCCACATGAAGTTGGCAGTGATTGTTTAGCTCAGGGTGTTGGACAACAGTATGAAGTTACATAATTCTCCCAAATAAATTTCACACGAATGAGAATTTCTGTTACAGTAATAAGCAATTCACATGTTACCTAAATTCTGTTCACTTTGGCATACTGTGACTTTGTTCTTAGTCCCTGCTAAAGGGCTGTAAAACAGCATGTAAAAAAAAAAAACCCCAAAACCCACTGTTCTTCGTACTCTCCTTCCCCAGGGTTCACTAATGAATTACCTGTTGGTTACAGTCAAATAATCCTAGCCCAGATTTGGGACCCTAGTTCCAAATTCCATGCATGTTTACAAATACTGTTATCTCTGCTCTACCTCTCTGATTACACTTTTTCCTCAGAATTAACATTTCCCACTAAGTTACTGCCCCACAGTGCAGGAAGATCTCTCAGCTTCTTAGTATTAAAACATCCAAAGGCAATTATGAAATTATAAACCACAGAAATCATATTAAGTGGTTAAAAGACACACACATACACAAATTCTGCACAGTTACATACCAGCTGTTCCCGCAGGACAGTATGCAGTACTTACGACAAGGTATCAGGTGACATCAGCGCTAATAAGAAAACCTACTGCTCTTGGGATAGCCAAGTTTGTCCAGGCTGGGCTGACACGCCAGCTGCACCATGGGCGGGGGCCCACACAGCAGGATGAGTGTCTCGCTGCCGGGCGGAGGCAGGTGGCTTTGAATCATGTCTGCAGTGACGAAGCCAGAACTGTACTTCCAATCTGAAACGAAGAAATTCAGCTATTCACTTGAATCTCTGTACGCTCTGAAGCCTTTTTAAACTGTGTACGTTGTACTCACGACGCAGCTGAAGAATCAGCAAAGTTACGGCACCATCACTGTGAGCCAAGAGAGGGTTAAATCTCTCAAAGCTTGTGGTCCCCTCTGACAAGGACAACTAGCATGTGGCTAACGAGGACCTGGCTGGTAAGTGTGACAGTCTGTGAATAAATGATAGATCTAAAAGAAATTAGATAGCCAGTAGGAATAAACAGGAAATCAGCTTTTCCAGTGAACAGAGGTCACCCCGGCACAGCTGCACACAGACAGATACTGAGACCTGTGCCATGCAACACAGAAAAAAATAAAATCAGAAAAGAGATCAAGTGGTAAAGTGACTAAGTTTGATGATGACAAAAGTTCTGCCATGTAGTTAAGTCGTAAGAGGAAAAAAATTTTTTAAAAAGAGGAAAGGAATGCAAAATGCTTTCAAGCAGTAGTAGTATTGAATGCATCTGCCATTTAAAGTAGGCCAAGTAGTAGAAATAATCCTTCCTTCATGTATAAAATTGTGTGCTTTAAGTTCATTTATCAGGGGTTATGAAAACAGCAGCAGTCACAAGGCATATGAAATGTTACATATCAGGAAAAGGGAACACCACATTAATGCAAAAATAGAGTCTGCCTGCATCTCGACCTCTGCTTTCAGTTCTGACCCGCTCGGCTCAGAAAGGGACACAGCAGAGCTGGTAAAGGCCGGGAGAAAAGGATGAGCAAGGGATGCAATCACTGCTGTGTGAGGGAGGCCAGCAGCTGTCAGTACAGAAGAGACGGGGCTGTAAAATTGGTAATGTCAGGGCAGTTGTAGGCACCTTTTGACACAAGAATTAACAGGAAGCAAACCAGAGGAAGTGACAGTACTATGGAACCACTAACAAACTGCCAAAAATGTCACAGAGGCTCTGAAGGAGACACACCAAGTTCTTAGGGAGGGAGTCACTCAGAGTTCCTCGATCTGCAGACACACATTTGGTTCAGAACCGAGAAATATTAAAGACTGGAAAAACATCAAAAAACACCTTCTTTGGCCATGGCTATTGCTGACAACGGGTACAGAACTTTGACCTGACTCAGTCTGGCTCTTAGGTCTGTTAAATAAAACCACAGCTCGCCCACATCAGAGTATGTTGTAATACAAATACCCAGGTTTCGAAGGCGGTTCAGCAGATCAACTTCTCCCCCCTCTCTCATTCAGTGCCACACCAGCCTGCAGTTCATGCCTTATCTATACACATGGCAGCTCTGTTTTGTTCTGCAGCAGTTCTCGATAGCTTCTGGTAAAAGATGTGCATGTACTATTTACGGGTATTAAGCAATTTAATGCCAACAAAACTCTAACATAACCTGATTTGGGAAACAGCCCGAAACAGAGCTGTAACATTTACTGAAAACTCCCCAAACCTGGCACATCCTGAACCACACCAAAAGACCCAGTAACATGTCCGGCCCAACAGGAGTTAATTATTAGTGCACACTTTCTAAGGCCCACCTCGTTTAGATCACTTTTCAAAACAGATGGTGAGTAAAGCTTGTTTCCGAGGGGTTGGGGGTGTCTTTGTGGTTTCAAAGCGTCAGACAAGAGGCTGTGATATTATACTAATGGCTCCTTGAACAAGAGGAAACCTGACTGTTGTACAGCGACGAGCAGAGGCATTTCCAGCCTGCACCAGCAGCCTACCTTGGGGGGGTCTGTCCAGTGTATACCAAAGCATGAACTGATCAGGATGCCTCTTAGCAACGTCTTCTAGCTCAGCTCTCAGCAATATATCTTCTTCTGTCTGCAAAGGGAGACCACTGTTCAGCAATAAACCATCTCGAGATGCCCCCTCGTGTGAGTTCATCTGGCATCCAACAGTACAAACGCAGTGATAACTCTTTCAAACCAAGAAAATTATTTTTATTCCCCCCCCCCCCGTACATGACAGTTATTATCATTACAGGCTTCTGTAAATTCAGATTAAAGACAACACTGTGAGACTTAACAGCCACCTAAACTCTGTTTTAAAGACAGACATCTGAACAACTTTTTAATCCAGGCTAGTATCACAATTAGCTGGATTTGTCTCTGACCCTGGCAGATCCAGGCCTGTACCAGCACGGTGAAGGCAACCTGTAGAAACACATCCACGGAACAAAACTCTTTCCTTCAAATCAGTGAAGCAGTAAAATGAGTAGAGGGATCAGAATCTGTTCACACTATTTATTTCCTAATATAGGAACTGGGGGGTGCAAATGAAACTATGAAGAGCCATCATCAAAAGAAATAACATCTTCATGGGAACTATGACAGCACCACACAAGTATTTATAAAAGGTCTTACGGATAATTTTTTAATTCTGTTTCTCCTTAAATCCTTTTAACCCAAGACAATATATTTATTAAAAGCTTACACAATAACTGTTTCCTGCTCCTCCCTATACTGATCATTCTTAGATGTGCTACCTCAGATAACATTGTCTCACAGATGGTTCAATGACAATGCAAACCCAAAGTCACTGGAAGAGTATGAAACACAGGGAGCAATCTCTTCTCCAGGGGTCAATGCCCCATCAGGTTAAAAAAAGCTCAGAGGCCATTAAAGAAGGACAATCAGATGAGTCAGTGTACTCACCTGATTAGCAAAAAGAAGGTAACATTTTGTGGAGTCCTTCGGATCATTTGTGATACGACGAATCAGCTGCAACATTGGAGTTATTCCTGTTAAAAACCAAAGTGGTTAAAAACCAGGTATTTCCTTCTGTGGCCACAGTTTCAATATTAATGCTGCCCCCCTTCAGTCTTCTGGGAGCTTAGTTTGCTCTAGATACCTTCAAACACATGCCAAATGCAGAGGTTGGGGGGTTCTATTATTACAAATCATTTCAAAGCAAAACCAAAACCACAATACTTGTATCTGGGGCTTTCCTTTCCAGCATTCTCCATCACATACAGTAATTTTACCCTCCAGACATTCTCCTAAAATACTTTTTTGTCACTGAGACTGAAGCTCAGAGAGACGAAGTGACTTCTCTGAGTCACGTGGTTAAATCAGGACTAAAGGTCTGAAGTTGCCAGCTCCCCGGACTGAGCCCAAGCCACTGGAAAGCCTCGGTGTTGCCAAACACTCATGAAAAGAAACACAGATGAGAATGCTCTGCTGCTGAAGTAGTGTTTGATACTCCTCACACGCATCCGCAGAGACATCTTCGTTCTCTAGACATTCCTTGTGATGAGAATAGTTTTACCTGTTCCTCCAGCTATCATCCCAAGATGCTTTGCAAACTTCTTCTCTGCTTCAGACTTCTTATGAGGCTTGATAAGAAAGGTACCTGGAAGAAATATTCAAAAGCTATAGGTACATTAACTCCCAAAGAAACATGCGTACAAATTCCATGGGAATAAATTAATACAGCCTACCAATTCATTAAGACAAATCTTCTGGAAAGGTTAAACGGATGAGCACAGCATTGAGCACAAAGAACAGAACCCTCCTCGCCTCTGTGAACTCCCATTCTAGCTTTGGACAACCGATTTACTTCTTCCCTGCCACCCAACATTGTTTATAATAAACTCCGGGATTCCCACATCACTGCCTAGAACACAACTCAGCAACTGTGAATGTCAGTGGTAGCTAATCGCAGCCCTGCTACAGAGAAACAGGATTTTTAGGCCATCTTCATCATCCTCACTTGTGTCACGGATCCAGCCATTTGGGTGTGTCCACATTCGGTGGTGGTGTAATTAAACCAGCATCAAGCACCAACCCTTGCAAAGATTAGAATCGGGAATGTCAGAGCCTTGCACACTTCTATCAAGTACTTTATTACCGTAATTAATTCCCAGTTAATGAGATCCCCAGGACACTCACAGTCAGCCAGGTGACTACCTTCTAGTACCCTGGGATGAGAAGACCTTGCTGACTTCTGCTCTACACCTGGGTACACCACTGCTCCAGAACTATCACAAAACCAGAGATGAATTTATCTCCAAAGGCCAAGGCAAATGAAAAGCCCCTGAAAAATATTCTAAACGAAAAGCACTTGACATGTTCCGGTCTTAAGAGATCTGTAACTAGCAACAAACTTCCCTAGCTCTTTACAGCAGCCAAAGCAGAGCAAGAAAGGAACGTCTGTAAAACACCCATCACTCGTTCCCTCTGAGATACACCGCACTCGTCAGCGTAGTGCTCGTCATAACCAGTCTTCATCCAGAGGAGAGCTGAGCTCTTATCCCCCTGAAGAGGCAGTTAAGTGCAACGTCGCTCTCAGTCAAGATCAAAGCAAAATCTTTCACTCGCCCTTGAAAGAGGATTACCTCTCTGAACTCACTTCCTCCCAGTCAGCTCAGACCTGGTGTCACCATGAAATGGAGCTGGGTCATAGTTGGCAGGTTATTCAGTAACAACACTGAGATTCTCGGATGGCATTGCAGGGCACAACCTCCCTTATGTAAGGAGTATCTGGAACATCTCCCTCCGTATGTACCGCTGAGGTACGATGTCCAGTGCAGTCTTCTCAGTAAGATCGTGTGACAGTGATCTCTTCAGATGTAGTTCTATGGCCCCAGGAGTGAGACAATAACCACAGAAAGCCAACACAAAGTATCCTTCCTATCATATCAATTCTGATGGGCTCTTAGTCAAGAGCAGGAAAGGCGGATTTTCTATTTTCTACTTTTTAAGAAAAAATCTTCTACAAATCACTAAGTTTTTAAAAAAAACACCTCTGAAAACAACTGATACAAGTTTCTCCCTTTTGCTCTCCCACCTTCATGTCTCAGTACCTGCCCCCTTGTAGACAAGGAGCCCATTTGGCCCTCTGAAATCAATAATATCGCCAATCTTCATGCCATCTAGGTACTGGGACATCTTCCCACCTTCTGGAAACTTGGGATTCACATTTTTGTGGTAGACCTGCAAAAACAATAATTTGTATGGTATCAGCCACTAGCTTTCCTGCAGACAGTATTACAAACTGTGGAACACAATATCGCAGGGCTCAAATTTAGCATCTGAGAAAGAAACTGAGACAGTTCTTTGCTCTCGGCTATCTGTTGTGCCTTGCAACAGGCAGCAGCCAAAATAAGTGAAATGCTGTCACACACATGTTCCTATGCTCTCTGCAAAGAGCCTGGCTAATAGGAACAGGTGGCAGGCACATTACCTGCCGGCACCCTCAGTTCACTATCGCTGCAGCAAGAACCTTATGCAACCTCATTTTTCTATTTGCTCCTTCTGAAAATAGCACTGCTTCATCTTTTCAAGACTTTCCCAGAGACTTGAGCCACGCGATAGCTTTTTCACCTTTCAGAGCACATACCAAGCTGTTAATAACAGTTCACCACACTTGTAACATGAAGAACAGAGCATGCAAAAAAAAGCCCGGATTTTTGCCTAAGGACAAACCTATCATCGAAAAAGATAAGAAAATCCAGAAGTCCTGGGATCAAATCATCCTGCATTCCCTAGCTTAAAGGATTGCCCTTTGTTTTGGATTCCATTTTCTTAACCAGTGAACACATTAGCAGCAAGCACTGCCAAAGAAGGGATCACCTTCTCCATTCACCCTACCTGTGCTCGCTCTCAGTGACATAGAGCAGAGACAACTTACTACTCAAGGATAATGTGAAATGAGTTGTTTGCCATGCAGTCATCCTGGTCAGAAGATCATCAATCAAAATAAAGTCTACAGTTCACTAAAATGAAGTACTTTCCTTCCTTCCAGTTAGCAACTTATCTATATTAAAGGAAACCAAAATTTACCTTTATAATTAAATCAACATAACCTTTGGTCTCATCACTGGATACTGGGGTATAGGCTCGAATCACCAGATTACCATCAATTTTTGCAGAAAGGTAAATGTGTTGGCCTAGGGAAAAAGAATTACGATCTGATTATTTAGGTTTTCATTCTGGGTTTCAAACTTTTCTGAAGGACAAGAGAGAAAAGCAGGTATTTTAACCTGTTAAACACAAGCAATGATGGGAAAAAAAATCTATATATATAAATCCTGTATAAAATAACTAGGCTCTTTTCTTTTTTCAGTAAGTTTCTAGAGCATGGGGTCATTGAGGACAGCTGGTATGTTAAGGAATCAAGGATTAGATACCAGGAAAGTAGGAAATTTCTAGTAAAACAGTGATATTGAAAGTTTGCTGCTCATTCTTAAGTGCTTCTGTATTTTGGGTTCTGCTGTTCTTATGTTCGTTAATGAAGTAAAGGTAAGCATGCACTAGTTCACACAGGCAAAGAAAGAAGCAAGTATTACATTTCAATAGCAGCAAACTTCCCCGAGATTCTGCACCAAGACATCAAGAACAAAGCCTTGGGCCACAGTCCTTCTCCACAGCTCCTGCCTCCGTAACGCTGCGGCTTCCGCTGCATGGGATGTGGCTGTCCAGAGACTCTTTGCCCAACCCAGTGCTCCAAGAGGCAGACTCAGAAGGGCCCTTTCTGCTGATTAAAAGAACTGAAACTCCTCGCCAAGAGTGGTCTTCTCGGCCAGACAGCACTAATCTAGAGAGTTGTATGGAAAAACAAAGCGTAGGAACAGTGCTGGCAGGAAACACTTTCTTTTTAGCAAAATGATCCTGGTAAAAAGCAGAAGGCAGGAATCTCCTAGGAAGTAATCTTGCCCCTGCAGTTTCAGGATCTTATTCCTAAATTCTTAAGAATAAAGTCTGGATAAACACAAGCACTGCAGGGGACATCTCAGTTCATTTGTCATTTGCCTAGTTAACGTGGACACTTCAATTACACTTTCCCGTACAAGCCAGAAGAGAAGCTGGAGAAAGAGTGCTGCCCCGACGGGCAGCATGCGAGGGCGTGCTCACAGCGTGGAACGGGGAAGACCCCGACACCTGCCACACAGCACGGGAAACTGCAGAACACAGCACAGCACAAACTGGGCTACGCCTGCCACATCTGCAGATCAGAAAGGGAGACTTTCCCCTGCGCAGATGACCATGAATGCAAGGTCCACAGTTCAATGCCATCAGTTTCGCAGGGTACAGTAAAGCACAATGTGCCAATCCTTGCCTGAAATGAACTTCGTGCTACAAAAAGCAAGGAAGTTTGTAGAGATATGTATGTAAATGAAAGGTAAGTGCACGCACAGAGAAGGCTCTGAATACTGCAGATCTTCCATACACAGTGGGTCTATTTCCCCTTGGTTCTGCACAGAATAGTGCCAAGTTTCCCAGACAGAAGAGTTGTACTCTTTCTCATGTTCAAGTGTGACCATATTTGTCCAAAGCAAAGAGCAGCTGACTAATAAAATGAGGGCACCAGATGGAAACAGAATGCAAGTAAGAAGTATGAAAAAGCTTTGACAGATACCTTTCTGCTTACATCCTAACTGGTGGTGAGCTTCATCAGACTCCGTTCAGTGTTGCTGTTCTTCTACAGCTATGTTACACAATTTATCACGAGCAGAGCAAAGCACACGCAAGAGATCAGAAATACAGCCCTTTGGGAAGGCTGACATTTCTCTCCAATGCAGCAGCGTTCAGATGAGCTTTTAAGTCCTTGCTTTGCTGAGCATTAAATTCCCAGTCACAAAGCCAAGAACTATGACTACAGTTATAAATCCTAAAACCAGAAATACATGTAATAAAATGTTTTCAGTACTTACCTACAGGTAATCCTAATACATGATCTGGTGAAGGGAGCCCAAACCGGAATTTCTTAGTATCATGGCTGATTTCCTAAAAAAACCCAGACAAACAAAAAAAACCCCACTATCAGAATGAGGTCAACATTACCACTGCTTCGAATTTCAAACTCTACTCAACACAATATGCTCTAGTAAGCCTGTTCTTTGTAAGCATGCAAGCCAAATACTAGGAAGGGAAGCAGAAATGGCTTTGAAAACTAAAATTTAAACAGATCAGAAGTCTTAGAACCAAAGTATTTTTCTCTTTAATTCCGTAAGGAGTGACTTTTGTCTGTCTGCTCAATCCCTGCAGCACCTTTATATAAAGAAAAACTGTGAACCCTCTACTGCCCCAGGCCAGTGAGCACATTTCGCCATCTGTGGCCAAAAATCCGGCAAGACACAACGTGCAGGAGCAGAGGCTGGCGGAGTTACTTCTCACTGATACACACTGGACAGAAATCAAGGGAGAAACACAGCTCTAATCTAGGACTTAAACATACAAAAATCTGACTCTGTTCTTTTGAAATAACCGTAAAACCGGAGCACCGGCGTAAGCGCTTTTAAGAACCGTGCTCTACCCCAGCTGCAGCCCGGCTGCCGAGTCCCAGCCGCCCCAGGCGGGCTCTGTGCCCCTCTCTGGCCTCGGGCAGCCCATGACCCACCGCCCCTCAGCCCCCCCTCTCCCCCGGCCGTGGGCACAGAGGGCCCGGCGCGACGCTGGGGGTTTGGGGCGCGGGCGCTCGGTCACCTCTTTGTCCACCAGCCGCAGCGGGTACTTGGCCAGGGGGTCCCGC